CCAGCCGTTCAAAAACCACCGCCTGTTCAACGGTAATAACACTCATAAGACCTAATATATTTTCTGAAATATTGTCATTGTTTTTTTTTTTTTTTTTAGATATTATGGTCGTAGAGGAAATGACTCATCGTCAGAATTAAGTATTTCAGATGATGATGAAAAAAATAAAAATACAAATAACATAAAACCTCCGTGAGTTGCTTTATACTTCATGTACACTATTTTTTATTAAAAATTGTATTTATTTATTTCAGATTACCAGATCTCAGTCTTTCTTCTTCCAGCAAAAAAGTCAGTAATTTGTTAATATATCGCAAGAGTACATTAGCATGTTGCGAATAAAAATAAATCAGAATTCTAGGGGATTATGAATTTTAAAACAAATGAAAATTTATAATAATAAATAATCTCTTTAATATGATTATATTGATTATAGTTTGTAGATTTAGATGTAATTGTAACATAATATGTTTACAGCAAGGTTCAAGTGACAGCAAACCAACTCCACAAGAATTAATGAAACGAAAAATGAAAGTTTTGCTTAACAAACAATGTCAGTAGTATTACTAGTAATTCACTTTTTTTGTGAAGAAGTTTTTAAAGTCAACATTTATTATATATTAAAAAAGTATAATTATTTTATTTATTATTCAATACATTACATATTTATTTGGTTTTTAGATAAAGCCGATAAAAAAGCTCAAAGAGAACGAGAACTTAAAATGGAGAGAGAGCAAATTGAACGAGAAGAAGAAATCAAAGAGTTGTCATTAAAAATGAGAAGAAAGTATGTGTTATAACTTATATTATTATCTAATAATGAATTTTTTTTATTATTATTTACTTGTTTTAGGAGACGGCAATTACGACATCCTGAGAATAGTTCTTCATCATCAAGATCTAAATCGCGTTCAAAATCTAGTAGTTCTAGTAGCTCAAGTTCAAGTTCAAACTATTCCAGGTATAATACAATTTAATATTTGTAAAAATTGATTGCTTCTATTTATTTTAATATTCTAATTTATATTCATGTTTAGGTATCGAAGTCGTAGGCGTAGATCTAGATCAAGAAGTGGTGGACGTAGATCTAGGTCAAGAAGTGGTGGTCGTAGATCTAGATCAAGAAGTGGTGTACGCCGAAGGTCTAAAAGTGGCGATCGACGTCGTCGGTCTAGAAGTGACGATAGGAGAAGGTCTAGAAGAAGTGAAGAACGTGATAGATATAGAAGAGATGATAGACGAGATTATGATCGTAGAGATGATTATCGTTACCGTCGTAGCCCTGAAAGAAGGGAAAGGAGAGTAGATAGAAGAGACAGTCCAAGTAGAAAAGAAATTAAACAAAGGGAGAGTCCCACTAAAAAAGAATTTAAACAGCATAGGGAAAGTCCAGTTAGGAAAGAAATTAAGCAAAGGGAGTTTCCAGATCGTAGTAAAAGGGAAAATGTGAATCGTCCAGTTGCCAAGATAACATATGAAGCAAGTCCAAAACGTTATGTATCAAATACTAAAGTGCAACCCAATTTGAAGTGAGTATTGTCCAAACTTAATTAATCATTTAATTAAATTCAATAATTTGAACTTAAAATGTTTATTAAAAATAATTATCTATGTATTTATCAAAGTTTATAGTTTAAATATGAATTACTTTTGATAAATCTTATATTAAATTTTTTTAAAAGACAAAAAGAATTATGAGCTTCCAATTTCAAAATAGTTAACAATTTCTTATAATTTTGATGAATTTTGTCAAAATAGTAGTTTCATGTGTATGGAAATTTATATTTTGACCTCTCTAAAAGTACAAAGTAGATTAATTTTCAACTAAAAACCTGTCATTTTTGAAAACCAAAGCATTTTACTAACTATTTATGTCAATATAACATGTGTACAAATAAAAAAAAAACATCAATTAACTTGGACAATTGATTTGTATAATATTAAATTGCTATTTTTGTTTTAGGTTTATATAGTTTTGTATAAAATAAGTTGGTAATAATCATTATTTATTAATATACATTATAAACCAATGGATGAACACTTTTTTAGTAAATATCATTAAATATGAATTATAAAGTAAAAATTAGATATTTTTATAAGTGAGTAAACAAGGCAGGAAATAAAAATAATAAGAATGTATTTATAATGAAATAACAAGTAACAAATATAAGGAAATACAGTTGTTTAAGTTAAACTAATGATAATAAGTAGGACTAGTTAAAATAACAAATTTTCCTTTATGTTTTTAATATATAACAGACCAAACTAGAAATTCATTTTATACAATGACGAGTTTAAAAATAAATATTAAAATATCTCTCAATTTTTGTACAATTTTTATGTATATTTTAATATTTTATGTAAAAAGTTTGTTTTCTTTTAATATTTAATTATGGTTTTATTATTTTATTTTTTTTTTTAATTAACAAAGTTATTTATTTTCATAACAACAATGCGGAGTGTTATTTCATCTTTATTACACTCACATTATCCTGTTATCTTTTGTATAAAACAATTTAGTATTCAATAAAAAAAATTCAGAATATTTCAAATAGTAATATTTTATAAATTTTAAATATAATACATGATATTTTTTTTATACTTGGTACATTTTTAATGTATATTTTAGATTTTGTCCATGCATATTTTTCAATTTTTAGCTCCTTTAACTTCTGAGCCCTAATAACAAGTAATTGAAATAAAGAATATTACTTTTTAATTAATACCTATAATGGAAGATGGAAGTCATTAATTTCTGTTAGATTTTTAAAAAAGAATGTGTATAAAATGTTAATATCTTGCATTCTTGTGGTACTCGTAAATACACAAAACTTAAAATCTTTAATACTGTTGGGACATTAACCAATGAGTTTAAAAGTTTGTAAAAAAAAAATAAAAGATCACTTCAGATTCTTTTGCTTTTTAAGTGTATACATTATTAATATTATCAAGATTTTATCCTGAAAATTTTTTTCTGTATCAATTTGCTTGTAACTTATAATTTTTCAATCTTTTGAATGTCTCCATTAAATACTGAATTTCATATTATATTATCATATTCTAATTGTGAACATTTAACAATGCAAATAAGGTCTTAACTGCAATTAAATGTAATTCTTAATGCATTTTTGCAAATCTTAACATTCAATTAGATTTGTTTAAAATATGACCTATGTATTCCTATAAATACAGTTTGCTAACTTAAAAACTACATAATTTTTATTGAATATAGGTTCATTATTGGTTTACCGTACACATTTCTATTGAAATGGATATATTATTTTACAATATATTTCTTTTTCTTTTAAATACAATATTTGTAATTACATATCACAATTCTCAGGTACAAAATTATTTAAATCAAAAGCAATTAGATTTGATAATAAAACTCCACCTTGTAATTATCTGAAATTATACAAATAGGTTTAAAAAGTATATTAATTTATTTTATAATTTAAATCAAGTTTGAAGAAATTAAGTACCTATATTTTCATTCAGACCTATACATTTGAGTTTTTGGATAATTATGTTGTTTGTTCTTAATTTGTAAATTTTACTATAAATTGTATTTATAAAACACTTTTTTTTTCAGGCCACTTGTAGATTATGATTGAGTGCTAGAAGTGAACTTAAAGGGTTATTTATCAGAATTAAAAGTAATCAATAATATTAAAATTCTTGTAAAATATTAACCTTTTATATTTTGTTAAGCAAGAATATCAACTCTTTATCTAATTATGACTTAATATGTATGTTTGATTTTATTATTAAAACTTTTTAAATAAAACTTTTCAAATTTATTTTTTTTTTAATTGTAAGAAATATCAACTTCTAACATTATTAGCTGAATACAAAAAAAAAAAAAGTGTATACCATTAATAATGTCAATACAATGTGTTATGAGTACAATTAATATGTTGTTCCCAATTATGATTATAAAGCACTGTCAAGAGTAACCGAGCAATTATGAAATTGTCATAACCATAAACGAAAAAAAATAAAAATATAAATATTTACTTGACTTAATCAACAATGGCTGATACTCTTTATCAATGTGATAATGGATGGGAAAATAATTTATAGAACTAAATAAATCATCATTCAAGTATCATACTGTACACTAAAAATTAACAAAATGAAGAAAAAAATGCAAAATAAAAGATTTACTTTTGAAGTATCCATTAAATGAGACAAATTATGTATTAGAAATGCATTGGTCCTATTTTTAATTAATAAACAATACATTTTAATTACTGGCTGACAACCTCAAAGTGTTATAGACATAAAAAAAAATTAGTTATTTCCTGAATTATATTTACTGGTAATGTATTACCTATGTATAATAAATTAATAAAGAAATCATTTAATTTTAATTTAACATAATAAATGATTTTAAATCGTAACCACCGTGTATGTTAAATGTGTTTTCATTAAATCAATAAGGAGTATTAAATATGGAGGAAGTAAAAAAAAAAATTTAACAGTATATTATTTGTCATTTAAAATGGAAGAAAGGTATGTAGAAGATTTTTTGAGCAGTGTTTATATTATTATTATTTTTTTTTTATCTTTATTACTAATCCTCTAAATCACAATCATAAATATACCAAGATGTATTTTAAGACATTTAAAAAAAAATCAAAAAATATAAGAATTTTACTGTTAAGTTTATTTTTTCAATAACAATTATACACATCAATATTTTTAATTTTATTAATGCTTAATATTATTATTCATCAAATTATAAAAATAAATATATATATATATATATATATATATTTAACAAAATGGAGAATTACTATTTAAACAACATACTACAAGTATATTTACTGAATTAATATGCTCCTACATTTTTGCTATGTGTTGAGTATAAGTATCTGAGAAAATATATTATTAATGAAGAAATCATAATGATTAATTATTAAAATGTAGGTATTAAACTATTTATATTTAAAAATAAATTGTTATTTATTCATTGAATTAGGTAGCTCACAAATTTTGTTAGAAGGAAAATATGTCTATTAGTAATTTAATTTTTTTAAAACAAAAATTGATTTTATTAATGCACATTCGGATAAAATATCAATCAAAATTTAAAATTAGTAATTGAAAAACACATGAGTACCTAGACGAGTATTGAGTACTTACCTCAAATCTTATATTAGGTATGTATTATAAATATACATACATATACACCAACTACAGTCTACAACAATGAATAATAATATAATTTGTACAAAATACAACCCAAATCAAATAATAATCAAACCAAAATAGTCAACATATCAGGCTGTGAAAATTCATAAATGATAATATATTGTTTTACGTTAACCTCCTAATTGTGTCCAATTGTAAGATGCTGGCTGATACCCGGTGTGTTGATCGTCTTGGCCAGAGCTGTAAATAGGGACACACTTTTTATGATTGACTTGTGGTTTAACAAAATAACAAGCTGTACATTGACATCGACTTATTGGTTCTCTTTGGCTTCCATATTGAGATAACCAATCGTCGGATGTTGTTGTATTATAATTCTCGTGGTGAGAAAAATTCAAGCTATTTTCTACATTTAAGAAAAAAAACAATAAAAAATCAAATAAAATGAGACTAGAGTCCTATAAAAGTTTATCATACCGTATCCAAGGGCAGGCTGATAAACATCTTGGTGTTCTCGTCTATCCTTTTCCTCAGCTTTTATTTTAGTGTCTTTAAACGCCTTTGCAAATGGATTATATTTGATTTTAAGTTTGGTCACCTAAAGAAATTATTTTTATGTTTAATAGTTTAAACAATTTTCGACTAACAATCACATAGGTACCTACATATTATTATATTTAATTAAACCAATTACACAGGTATCACTAGATGTTCAATAGAATAGATGAAGAAAATCAAAAATCTCTATTAATACGAATGACTTAAAATGTCAATAATAAAATATATATTTATATACATGATAGGTATATATATAACAAAATACTTTATAGAACTATTTGTTATAGAGCTGAACAATTAGGTAAATTGATAACATCACATAAATAAAGCTGTAAATGACCTAAACGCAACCTAAAAGCGCAAAAATAAATAGGTATTTCATAAGCGCAAAAAAACCTTTTTAATAAACTATGAGCGCAAATAAATTTTACAACAATAAAGTGTATTTTTTAAGTTAGGTATAAGTTTATACTGCATATATTGAATAGTTATCTTAAATAATTATTAACTTATATTGTGATTCGTTACAATAAAATTCGATACGTTATAATACTAAACTTTAACTGAACTTGATCACTGTTGATGTATTTTTGAATTTGCGCTTTTGGATTTCACCGATAAACAATGATTAATGAAATTAAAATAAAAGAGTGAAAACACCTCCTAATTAAAATATAGGTAGGTAATTAATGCAATATATTATTTAAGTAAGTAGGTATTAATATTTTAGTGAGCCAGTATTTATAACTATTTTGTACAATAGGTATTTGGCACTAAATACTTAGGTATAGACATGTGACATTCCTATTAAATGACTACCTACCTAATGGACTTTTTGGTAGGTGGGTACTCTAATGTTGATAGGTTTATCTAATTATTAAATACCAGCTCAAATTAAATGATATATTATAATTTTTGCTATTACCTCTTCGTTTTGATATGCTGTGACTGCCATAAACCTGGTCTGAGGCATTGCAAAAATTTGTACATCATCCGGATCTCCAACTTTGACTATATGAAGTTTGGTCTCATATTGATGCAATGAATTTAAGTGAGTCTATAAAATACAATAGATATCAAAAAATGAGTAATCAATTAATTTCATTAAGGCTGAGTCTTTGATTTATTCTTTCAAATAATAAATTATGTTTTCTTGTGCAATGCACTTATAACCTAATAAGTAATAACTAATAAGCATGTAAAGATTACACACAATGTTCGTTTAATAATTTAATTGTTTTTCTTTTTATTATTTTTTTTTTTTTAACAGTTAAACAAAAATTAATGCTAGTCAAAATATATTAGAAAATTAATAAATAACTATTACAATATAAAAACTTTGAAATTGATAAACGTCCAAAAATGAAGAAAAAAAATCGTCTACGACTAACATAAAATAGATAGGTAGGCAACTATAGGTACTCAAATACACCACTATTCACTACCCGAGTATCGGATTGTTCTTACAAGTTATATTAGACATATTCGACGTTGATACGTATATAATTAATTATTAATTACAAACTTGAAGTCTTGAAGACTTTTGGCTTTATATTTTAAAGTATTATAGTATTATTCATGTATAGGTAGCGATATACCTGTCCTGGGTTATCCGGCCTATTGGTAAGTTTAATTTTAGCAAATGAAATCGGTTGATCCATCCAATGTTTGCCAAAATTTGGTGACTCCGGGTGTTTATAAAATGGATTTTTTGTAGCCGGATCCGACGTAGTGGTCGGCGACCACTCGCTGTTAATGTACTTCCATCGTTGTCCAACCACTTGCACAAACTCCAAAAATACAGTGTACATATCTCCTGGACACAACCCAGTAACTTGCGTTTTAATAACTGGAAACATTCTCCTAAAAACGTATAATTTGTGAATATTTTTTTTTAATTTTCAATAATATATAAATTGGACCATATAGCCGAAAATAGACAACAATTTTTTGAGGGAGAAGGGAAAGGATTAAAAAACGTGGGGCATAATCCCTTACCAGGCTTACCAAACCCCTTCAACTATAGTTATCGGTTTACAGATAAAAATTATTATCTACTTAATTTATATTCAATAACTATCTGTAAACTGAGTAAAATACACAACATTTAAATTTTATTTCTTGGGTATAATTTCAAAATTGTAGAAAAATTTATATTCACTTAGTGTCAATACTTGATAAAAATTTAATTTGGAAGACTTGACAGAGTTTTGAGAATCCCTACCCAAGCCCTTATAATTTTAACCAGTTTATCTTCTTACTCTAGTTTTCTTACTCCTACTTTTTGATGCATAAATGTCAATCATTTATTTACCTAAACTACGTTGAAACCATTTTATAGGAACCTATTTATTAATTGATATTATCATAGTTGAACTTTGAAGTATCTACCGACGGCAAAAAAAGTCAATAAGTCTTGAATTATATTTTAAAAATTTTGACGCCAAAATATTTTCAAATGTACAATTTAATTATTAAGTAATAATAATAAAAAAAAATATTATTCGTATCTACATTCTACAATTCATTTATTTTCAACAATAATGAATAAATAATAAATTTAATATTATACCTATATTATAGTGAGTTGCAATGTGATTACGATTTTATATAAATTTGTATTTAGTAATCCATTCAGTATTATAGATATTCAAATTATTTATTTATTTATTTGTAAGCACGATAAATAATGGTAGATATGTGAAATCATATATAGCAAGATAACATAAACATAACAAAATTAGAAACTAAAAACATAACACGATTGAAAATTTAAAGATATGTAAATAAAAAAAAAATGTATAAGCTAAATAACAACAAAGAAAAAATGAAAAAATGAGACATTGAGAAGTGCTAAACAAAATAAAAAGTTATAGAATTACCCACAGCCATAAAGGTATTAAAGGGACTGTTTATCACATAGTTTTTTTAAGGAATGGCATAAAATAAATCACTAGTTCTCCTGTTAAGTAAGTTTATTTGAAAAGGAATAAGGAAAAGGCGCACTTGATAATCAAAGTTATGTAAAACTATTATTGTTATATCATTCAATATATTATTATTATTATTTATATTTCATACGTCTTCTTACTACTATAGGTAGGTATTTACTCAAATTTGGAATCAGAGGACAATTGGTATTTGTAAGTCATAATAGTTAAACATATAAATGATTTGCATAAATAATAATAATTCATCAATAAGCAGTGGCGTATTTATACTAGGACCCCCCAAAATATGTCCAAGTTGGGAGCTACAAGAACTTTTATCCTTATATAAATAAAAAAAATACTAAACATTTTTTTTTAAAACTGTATGTTAAAAATAATTTGATTTTAAATACGAAAAAAAAATGTATAGCATCAGACTCTTTCTAACATCACTCTTTAATTATTAAAAAGATGATTAAGTAAGATGGGCTCCCACCTCCAATAAAACCTTTTCCCTAGTGCTGTGGTTCTCAGTCCGTATGTCGTAGAACAAGTTCAAATGTGTCGCTTGAAGTTCTAATATTAAATGACACAACATTTTTTAAACAATTAATGAACAAAAAAAAAGGGTATTTTTTTATATTATATCTATCTGGATATTTTGGTATTTTTAAATATAACTATAACTCAATACAAGAAAATAACTCCCTAAAAACTCTTAATATGAATAACTCGTCTCATGATGCGAATACAAATCTAAATGAAAATATAATTATGAAATCTAATTAATATATTTTGATTTTGTCTCAATACCCAATATTTTCATTAGAAAAAAAAAATACAAAATATTCCAGTACTAATACTAAGATACTATGAGTGTTTATTAAGTTATTTTATTAGTTCATGATTCTAATCAGAAAATTTACAACTAAAAACTATGATTATGATAACTCTGTAGAGGATGACATGGCGTTTAACGGTTTATGTTTATATATATATATCTTATATATAGGATTTTGAAACCTAGGTACATACCTATAAAGTTATAGATGGATATTTAGAACCCACATATATTATGTGTAATTAATAGCTATACTGATGACGATACAGTTAAACAGATAAATAGTTCTAAATAATTGTATAGGTAAGGCAACATCGTTTAATTATATAATTTATTGATTTATCATCAAACTATACTCAGATATTTTTACTACAAAAACGACAATTTATAGCATAATAGTATAATATATAGATATAATATTAAATACATAAAATTACACCTAAATATAAAAGTCAAAATATTTATATTGTTAAAAAAAAAAATAGCTATTCTAATATACGAGTATAATTGCATTGGATTTAAATAAAATATTTATACTTTCTTGCATATCTTATGAATAAACAATTATTATTACATATAATTTGAATTGAACTTATCTACATTAATATTGTTCTAAATCCATTTCTGTTTTCAGTGTATTTTGCATACCAAAATTATTTGGTTTTCTTTAATTTGTAAATAAATACAATAGGAATAAAAATCAATATAAATATCATAAGATTTTCAACAATAATTATAATATAATCTATGATAAATTTAAGCATATATAGGTCTAGTGTATACTATAAGAAGAGATATATATTGCCATATTTGTACATATTACGTATATATACATATATTATACACTATATAATTATAATACCTACACTTATAATAAACAAGATATTTTACACAGCTTATAATTAAATAATATTTTATTAATTTTTTTTTATTTACTATTATCCATATTATGACATTCTTTTTGTTTTTTTTTTTTAATTTAATATAGAATAAATGCATTTTCAATAAAAATCTTTCATATACCTATTTATGGTGTTTATTTTTTGTACCTACACGTGATGCCAATGTGAAATATTAAGATAATCATTTAAATGATTAAATTACAATATCGTAATTTTTTTTACAAACAGAAATTTTAAATCATTAAACAAACACAATTGATTTTTAAATAGACACAGAAATTTAAACACTTACATAATATTTTATCAGTAAATTTAGAACGGTTCTAATTATAAAACAGACAACTTGTTAATTATTATTTATTACCTATCGGCTATCGAGTAATTAATCAATAAACAATAATATATATAGTGATTTCAAATATTTATAAATAATTTATTAATAAATAGGTATTATACGGACTCACCTTCCTGTTTTTGTGACAATCATTTCATTGTTAATGGCTAAGAACTCAGACCAAAGTTGAGCATCCAACAATCTTGATCGCACTTGATGCCTTTTACCCCAAGTCAAGTTCTGCAATTCGGAAGTAGTCATTTCTCTCGAATTATTATTCATTTTTTGTTTTGTTTTGTTTTTTGTTTTCTTGATACAAACACAATTGGACCAAGAATTATTCAATACACGAAAACACAATTAACAAGTAACGCACATTTTTGTTTCTCACATTAGTGTTGTCTCGTTCACACCTGAGTGCCCAGTGACTGGGCAGGTAAAATTTTAGAAATTTTCGAACGGTCCCACTGACAGAAATGACTTGGTGGTCAGTAGGTGGAGACTTCTTTTATTTTATTGCACCCATTATAGTACATTATACCAATTGTTTGTTGTAAACGCGTGCGTTTTATTGTTGTGTGAAAAGAGATATATTATTATTCTTCATCAATGGGTACCGCTCGAATATAATATTATATCCTTTGGGTCTGTGAATTGTGATCAATTTACACCTTAAACATTGCTAAGAATCGTGATATTTAAATTAACACTGACGTTATAATACTTTTATTTATATATATATTTTTTTTTTTTTAAATACATTTTATTTGCACTTTAATAAAATTACACGGTTGTTATAAGTAAGCATCTAAGATGCAGTATCTTAATATCCGCAAGCTACCTGTTTATTATATGTATTATTTTCCGTTAACGTTAAAATATTTTAATATATATCTATAGGTATCGACTACAAAATGCAATCATACTATGATGAATCGAGGCCGAATTGGTATATCTTAATAATGTTCTAAATAAGATATTATTCTATGTATAATACTACCTACCTAAAAAAAATCATTAATTTTTCTACGATTTATAATAATTAATATATTTTAATAAAATGCGCAAAAATAATTAAATGATTATATTATATATCATGATTTATTATTTATATTTTATAATAATAACAACATAAATAAAAAAATTCAATAAAATTGTTATTGTTCTGAAATACCAAAGTTCTACAATCACTATCTTTTGAATTATAAATTAAAATTATAGTATTTTTAAAAGAAATAAAAACGTCTGTAAAAATGTAACACTTCAAAAAAAAAAAAGAAGAAATTAATTTAATACTATTTTATGTGTTCGGTTTCCTTCAATTCTATACTAAATCTTCTGAATAATTATTTGATCTATAAGCGTGGTAAACAAAATATGCTACATTAATACTTTAATATACGGTTATTACCATATAGTCACTTAAGTTTTAGTCTTATATTTGATTATTAAATTAAATTTATTTCTAAGCATACACATTTTTTTTAACATTGTCTTTTGTAACTTTTTACTGTTCAAATAATTATTTATCAACATTATATAAATATGTATATTTAAGCAAAATTAAATGTTATAGATAGTCATATAGATAAGTTGCTAAATGAAACGTCGAGAAATCTACTAACTCAATCAAGCCATACTACATACTACCATAGTCCAAGTAAAAATATGTAAAAACATATTAATTCTATCTCTACTAATGATTGATTGTGCCTAGCTATACATAAATTGTACTTAAGCACGTGTGTCTATTGATTAAGCATAGGTGATGAATGATGATATCATAATTATTATGCTATACGTTTTTACACATTATTTTTTTTGGTTAATAATTCAAGTCACAAAATTCGATAACTGATGAAAGTGAAATTTAACAAATATTAAATTTATTAGTATATAGTTAATCTATATTATATACCAAAAGAAATAGTTTTAATACCATAAAAACAAAATTAAACATTATTTCAATCTTTTCTGGGAATCAGTCATAAATTGCAATGCATTCTTAGAAAGTTAAGTTATTAAAACGAATAGGTTAATGCAAATATTTTTCGTATTGTATTATATTTATACTATGGATATATTTTAAAATCAATTATTTTGTTATGTCATTTTATGTATATAGGTAATGGACCTTGTAATACCATTTACTATATTACAGTATTTTAATTTTATTATGTTTGTTTTTATGTTTAATTTTTGTTTCAATATACAATATACATACAATAAAATATTATAATTTATAATATATTCATAATGACCCGTTCAAACTGGAGAATAAACGACTACCTGCCTCAATAATCGACCACTAATCTACTCTTCGATATTCGCACAGAGAAATATACTGTTGTAATGTTAATAGAATATATTTCTTATGGATTATATGAAATATAGTCATAATAAAAATACAACATAATATACATTCCCAATAAATGATTATACTACATATTACCTTTCATTGATAATTCATTATTTTAATTTTTAGAGTAAGAACCGAATAAATTAAATTTAAAAAACATATTTCCATCCTAATATCATAATATTTTCGCTTAAATATTGACACATTGTTTGCTTGTATTATTTATTAATGTGGTAATAAGTGTGTTGTGAGTACATTTAGTATGAATAACTAATAAGTTAAATTTTATCCTTCAGACTAAAATATGAACATTTTTTAATTATTTTGTAAATATAAAGAAGGCGTAAGATGAACAAAATAGCCTTTCGCAACTCACCTTGGTAATAAATTCTATCCATTAGAACTTTCAACCCATACATAATATACATACATATTATATCTACACGTTATTCTTCCCCGCTATCTCAATCTGTAAAGCCCGCGTCCTAAGAAACTATGTATTGCAAGATATTGTCGCACCCTTCGCAAACTAGTACATTAACCACAATTCAGTTATAATTACAATAATTTGGATGACAGAATCACATAGCAGTCTCCGTTGTCCGCTGTATCAACCTTTTAGTGAGGTGCTCGTATATACATATTATGCGAGTTATACGTGTACGCCGTGCGCACAGACCCCACGTGTGGTCCAATCGTTTATCCTTTATGTACGGGATTATGTTGTATATATAATATTATTGTATGTATACAGACGTCCCCTGATCACGGACGAAGACGTATAAAATAATAACACAAGACGTTAGTTCCTTTTGTCGGCAGGTGCATCTCTATGTACACAAAAATACAAAATGATTCATAAACGCGTTGCGGGTTCGATACATACACATGACCATAAAACCATAAACATTTCCACACGAAAACACAACTTAAAACTGTATATACTCTGGCTACTACCATCGTCCATCAATATTATATATACAGAACACGACTACACACATAGTGTAGAATTATTACAGTAGGTATCTATATAACTAGCATTGCAATCAGTAGGTATAAGTAAATAGTAAGTATAGCTGGAAGGCTAAATAATAAGCACAATATACAGTATACATGCGTGCACACAAAGCTAAGTCTAATATAATATAAATACTGCTGGTACAACGTACAGGAAATAAATTCAGTTAGTGAGCAGCGGAATATTATTTTTTTAATTACATATTGTATCGGCTGTTATTTTAATAACACAAATTCAAAAACCACGAGATGAAAAAAATATCCGTAAATATTGTTTTCGAACCAATCGAATCATTATTCGTTTACAAAAACTGTTAATTACATTAATAACATTTTTTATAAAAACACTCTAACTGTACAATTTACACACGTTTATATCAGTGGCATAGTCCGGGGTTTTCAATAAATTTTGTATAATTTTCAATAGGTTGGCACTAAAGATAATTATTAATAATTATTAATGATGGGTAGCGATATCGATATTGAAAATTTTTTATTATTATATAATTTTTTAAAAATCATATTTTATTTGCTGGTTTTAAGGCATCTAAGCTATAATAAATTTAATTATTTTGAAATTTGTAATACAATTATGTACAATATTGGTTTGCCAATAATATCTAGGTATTAAAATAAAGCATTTTATTAGCATTAATAAAGTAAATGAGTTTAATTTCTTAGTGTGATGTAAATTTGGTTAAGTGAAAACGATAAAGGAACTTCAATATCACGATATGAAATCAGTAAATTTTGAACGATATTAGTATTTGAAATTATATCGTTGTTCGTCACTAATTATTATACTTATTAGATGTCCAGATATAATACATATAATACGTTCTGGCATCTTACTGAACTGAATAATTTTTAACAACTTTTTATTTATATAAATTTAAAAAGCGAGCAATAATTCTTTTTTTACATTGTCATATTCAGCAGGAATATAGCTGCTGAAGCCTGAAGAGAGCTGAGAGACAGGGTTCTTTACCATTTTTTCTTAAAATCAACAACTTTTATTAATATAGTAATAATAGTATTTAGTTTACACATATATATAAATTCGACTTCATGATTGTTAAATTATTGATGTGTCAAGCTGATCTATAGGATTAGTATTAGGTATACATTTATAGGTACTTCTAAAATATTCGACAGTTATTGCTATGTCTTACAAGTCTTTGAAATATGACTACATAACTGTGTGTTGCTAATATATATTTTATATATCTATCTAACGTATTCCTACATTATATTATGATATTATAATACCAATACCATGTCTGTATATGTATTGACGTATATATAGCATTTAATGTGAATATTGGATATCAAATTGGATCTAATTTGTACTTTGGAGAGGTTAAATTTAAAAATTCCCAATACTTATTTTTATCATCGGAAAAAACAAACAATTATGAAAAACGAGAATTTTTACGCAAATCCAATTTTTAACAAAATCGATTCTGTTTTTTTTCCTTATGTAATTAAAAAACGAATAACCATAGGTACTTAGAATTTTCACCAAATGTTTAAGTTACCATTTTTTATTTACGATAAAATTATTAAAATATTTCAACTATTTTTGAGCTCTTTGTAAACAAAAGAAATTTGAAAATTTTTAGTTTTTTTTTTTATGAATATAGAATTAATAATTACTTTTTGGGTAGAAAATCTATAGCTGCAATATTTTTTTATAAGCGTTTAAAGTTAGAATTTTGACAAAATTTATAAAAATCGCGAATTATTTCGTAGTTAATTAATAAACATTTTTGTTTTTATACATATGATTTAAAAATGTAATACATAAGGTTTTTTTATTAGTTTTTTAACTTATATATAAAAAGAGATTTTACCGGAAACCTAAATCAATTTTTTATGAGCATTTCAAGTTTAAATGTGTACAACATTCGATATTCACCCGTAAAATAATTATTTCTCCTCAAACATTTCTGATATTTCATTGTATTTAAAAAAAAAAATAACAATGATAAATATCTATAAATTATAATTTTCACCGAATGTTTAATTATTTTCATTATATGATAACATATTAGTTATTAAACATAATTTTTTAGTTTTTTTCTATACATTTTGATAAAAAATTATTCGTTAGGTCAAAATTTTTGAAATTTAATACAAAATTTCACAGAAGTTGCTTTTTAGTGTGTACAAACATTAAAAATACATAGGTAGTCACAATTATTTTTAAATGTATTTGAAATTAACATGTCAACGAAATTCGACAGGTTAGGTTTGCAAACTGTTTTGTAGTTAAAAATTCATAACTTTTTTTTTGTACCTAAATTTTGAAAATTTATGTTAAGATTTCTTATAAGTAATTCATAACATAAAATCTAAAAAATGAATAGTCAATTATTTTTGGACATTTTAAGTTCCAATTTGGATGAAATTACTTATTTAAACAATTATGTAATAACAATATATTAATTATTTTAATTTAAAAAAATATATTTGTGGGAACTTAAACTTTTATGTATTTTACTATACTCGATAACATTTTAAATTTAATTTTAAATATTATTTATTTATAGGTACTATTAATCTATTTTTACTGTTTTATAATATATACAGAAAAACATTATTACATTTTGAATATTATTATATAAGTTGATATAATATGGAAAATTTATTTATTATTATAATAATTAAATCCTAATAATATAATAATAAATGTAGTATTTTCAAAAAAAATTTGATTAACTTATTTTTATACTAAAAGTGAAATAAATAACTTTAATAGCTATAATATCACAAAATATGCTTATTAATAATTTGATAATGACTGATAGACTGTCACTGCTCACTGCTCAGAATCGTTTTCATACACAATAATTTTTATTGAATTCAAATTTAACACACAAATAAAAGTAATCCACCCGATACTTTATGTACAGTAGAGAGGTACCCACTACTCACTAGTGTCACGACCCACTATCTTTTAAAGTTAAAGCTACAGGTTGAAAATTATTTTTATTTTTTTTTTAAATAAATGTTATCTAACAAGTCTTATAGCATAACCAACGCATCTGTAATACATTTGAGTCAGTATTAAATTTATTAATTTTTGCAGTAAAAGAAAAATAATAGGTACCGGCATAATTTGAATTGATGCGTAACCGTATATTTGATTTATTGAGTTAACATGAACAATCATGACTATATACTTTACTTGATTAGAGGCGTTTCAACTAAAAAATTTTCAACTGCATTTTTATCGACAAAAAAATAAAATCTATCAAATTTCGGTTAGTGGCATTATAAATAATTATCGTCTTTCACGTTTAGTATTATTAAGCGATGTTTTTTTGATATTTTAATTTTTAAACTACATATGACTATGCGAGATATTAAAAGTTTAAAGTGTTCGTTAACAAAATGTATCACAATGTTCTGGTACATTGAAATGTAATTTTAATTTTAATGTGAAATTATCACATCTCCAAAATACACTTTGTATAGTTTAAAAATTATAATATTGATAACAGCTGACAATTGAGCACAAATAATATTCTTACTTTTATCTTTGATATAATTGATCAATTTACTCTAATATTAAAATGATCAGCACAAAATCGGTTCTACTTATGTACTAACGTAAATTTGTTATGTCAAATGTTTGTAAGGAAAGAACACATGCGAATGAAGCGTCTTAGATAACATAAGTATAAAATATCACAGTCGTATATGACGATCGTGGGTATCACTGGGTAATATAAACTATCTATTATCTAGTAATAATTACTAACAATAATAACTACTCAGTACTCAATACTCGTGGAAAAAAGATTGAAGTATCTACTTCTACTATGCAATTACACCTTACGGCTTACACTCATGACAGTAACCGTTCATAGAATACGTTCATTGCTACAACCGTGAACATGGTTGAAAAATAAAATTGATATGAATTGTTTGCCGCCAAAATATTTTTATCAATTTAACCTATAAAACTGACAGAACACATTAATTTTATTGAAAAACACAAACTGAGTTCCAGGATTTTCCGTTACATTTTCAATTATTAATTATGTTATTATGATTTTAAGTTTTAACAATTCGTAAATATTACATATGTTTTTAATTTCACTTTCACATTTTCACTTTTAAGCTTAATTCCATAAAAATTGAATGTACTATTAATTCATTTGTTTCTATCTATATTAAAAACATTAAATGATGGCTACCAAACAACAAAGCCAAAATGCCATCACTCTCAAAGGGTCTGCGAAATTGGTTATGGACTATTTAAGTAAGCATAATATATGATTTTCTACTTGCTATATAATATAGTATCAAGATTTCATAAATCGTTCTTTATAGATTTTGGAATCAACAGTATTCTTTTTCAACGAGGAATTTACCCACCGGAATCATTCAAAACGGAAGAGCATTTTGGTCTATCAATTCTTGTGTCAACTGATAGTAAAATTCAACAGTTCCTACAACCTGTTCTTAACCAAATGAAAGGTTAGGTTTGTGGTTGAAAATATTTACTTTTTTTATTTTTTTAAATTATATAGTTAATTAATCTATGATCAAATTCAAAGGTATGAATATTATTTCAGACTCCACATGGAGGTTTTATCAATATTTTTATTTCAAAGCAAGTTATGTGAATTTAAAATTTGTAAATTTAATTTGATCATAGAAAAAAAAAAAAACAGTAAATAAAATTATTTTTTTTTTTTATAAAAAATCAGAGTAAAATGAAGATAAATCTACTGGTATAAAGACTTATTAAACTAAAATAATTATTTAATATTTAGTAATTTATGAATATATATAAAAAATAAATCATTAAGTAATTCGATGATGACAATATAGATATATTATATACTCTAAACATTTCTCTAATTTAAAATTACATTTTGAGTCCATAATACTTACATTTCAATGAAATTGAATACTGTGGGATATCATGTAGAGAAAATGATAAGTTGTTTATACAGTTATAAATATTGTATTTTTCTTTATGAAAAATTAAATCAAACATTTTGTACCTAATACATATATACCATTCCTTAAAATATTTTGAAGTAATTTTATTTCAAATAAACTGGGTTTTGGTTATTAAAAGTTATATAGATATGCAAATTACAATTAAAAAAGTATTTTCAAGCTATACCCAGGTATAATTAAAATTGATAAAATATAGTTAATAATTAAAAAAATAATGAAACTTATATTAAAAAGACAATTTCTATTCAAAATTATTTTTTTATTCTTAATTGTTTGTAATTCTGAGTTAAAAATTAATTTTACATTTTTTTTTTTTTTTAGATTGGCTGTTAGAACAAAAAATTCAAAAGATGTCAATGGTTATATCCAATGTTAACACTAAAGAAGTGATGGAACGTTGGGATTTCAAATTGCAGTATGAAGGTTCTGGTGATTCCAATCCAGACTCTGTTGGAAATAAGGATTTATCAATAATCCAAAAAGAAATTAGAGACGTATTAAGGCAAATTTGTTCTACTGTTAGTTTTTTACCTTTACTTGACTGTCCATGTGCTTTCGACTTGCAAATATACACTAAACCTGACGTAGATGTACCACAAGAATGGGCTGAAACTGCTCCTAGCTATATTGCTAATTCTCAAGAGTTACAATTAAGATCATTTTCAACTTCATTGCATAGAATGGATACTGTTGTGAGTTATAAAGCAGACTTTTAAAAAGAATGTCTGTATGGTAATCAAATTAATTAAGTTTTTTTATATTTTTTTAATAAACTACTATTTTAGATAATCATAAGTTAAATAATAATTGTTTTTGTTTATTCCAATAAACTATTTTTTTAATCACAACATTGTAAATTATTTTTTACTTTGGTTTAAGTACCTCCTTACCCAATCCTATAGTATTAAATAATCAATTTGTATTTTCATTTTAATAATATTTTGTTATATTTTTACTCTTTAACTTGTATACATTAATAGTAAAAATATAGTAGAGAATATGTATTACTATGTATTTCCAAGATAAGAAAATATACTTTTGTTTTTAATGTTTTTATATAATAGTACGCATTATTAATACTATAGTAGTTTAATATTCTGTTACTAGAAACGTGTTTCATTATATTAGTAGGTACAACAAAAATTTAATTTTTTTATTATTTCATAATTATTTATATGTAAAATACATAAGTTATATGATATAATAAATAGTAATCAGTATGGATATTCTATGCTGAACAATATTAATTTATAATAAAATAAATATTGTTTTTAAAAGTCCTAAAAATTAAAATCAAGAAAAACATATATAATATATATTAAACTTATTTTATGTTTGAATGTTATGGAATGTAATTTAAGTTTTACCAGCTAGTAAAATAATTTTTGCAAGTACATAATATTATCTATATTGTGCAATAGTTCATTCCTACATTTAAATAAAGATCAAAATTAACCACATCTGCTTAGATTTTTAATAAATTTGTCTATTACATTTTTAAGTTTTAGTAAAAATATTAAAGCAAAACACTCTTAATCAAGTTAATCTTATAGTAGATTATGTATTTCATTTGTTAATTTTTTTTATATCTGCATCATTAAATGGCATAATAGATATATAAAAGTTTTTATGTACATTATTATAATAAATATAATAATCTAAATAATGAAATTTCAAATTTAACTCCATTTATTATTTAAACATTTTTTATTATTATTCTTATTTCCTATTTATACACAATTTAATTGTCTTTACAACTGTGCGTAGTAAGTTTAAAATTAGGTACTTATACATTAAATAACTTGAGTTAACTGATAACAAAATAATATACTTAAAAAGCAAATACAAATTTGTTGATTCATTGTTTATAAATTACAAAACACATTATAGCCTCATAAACGAATAGTATTAAACTGGCACCCCTTTAAAAGAAGTGAAAATCGATGCTTCTACCTCTGCGGCAGACCTGGTAATTGGAAGATTTGAGAAGTCGTCGATGAACATATTATTCTCTATGTCTCTATGAGTTTTCAATGACGACATTATGATGTACGTTTTTGTACACTGTTCGATCTCTTTCAAATGTTTCTCTTCTTTGTAGTATGACGTGACGACGTGAATTTCAACAATAGACAAAACTGTATTTACAATAAAACAAACAAAACTAAATTGTATTTTACTATTTTTAATCTATTATCAATCAGACGTGTGATCCAGTGTCCAGTTGTGTGCATACCATTGGTTTTTATTTTTTTACGTAAAGACATGGAAATGGTTAATCAATTGTAATATATATTTTTTATCCCTCACCCTATTAAAAATATTGGTACCTATACGCCACTGGTGTCACAGTATAATATACTTAATATAAAAAGTCTACGTACAGTTTATCAAAATAAAAACTAGGAGAAGATGACATTCTAGGTTTCCGAAGTCCGTGGATTTGACGAAGAACATATTTCGGTGCACTTTGTGAATGTACATCTTAATTGAAACGATAAAAGCAGTAAGATAAACGATGCAAGTGATCACAATCCAAAAAAATATCTTTGACGGCGCGTTCTGTAATAAAAATAAAAAAATTACCTACATTTCTTGATGATGCATACTCAGGTAGGTACATAGGTATTAGGTACTACAATTACAATGATATATAAGTACCTAAGACCATAGATTTAATATACTAGTATATTGACTGCAGTTTAATCGGTTATAAATATAATATTACCAATTATTTATTAATTTAATACTGGTAGTTGGTACCAATCATGGTAGTAGCAAGTGGTTTAAGATATCCTAATAAATGTTAGCATCTTCATATTGTAGTTAATTTGTAAAAAAAAATTAGATTTCTTAAACAAAATAGTAGGTACCTATACACAATATGTTTTGAAAATCTTTATTAATTAGGAAATAGGTTTAAGGTATTAGGTAGGTATGAATGTATGATAGTATACTAATAAATAAGAAGTCGTCATATCCACTTGTGTTGTTTCCGTCTTACAAATAAAAATACATTTTAACATTTATACATACAACATGTCAACGCATCAAATTTGCGTTTAATGGAATCAATTTTAGAGTGAATGTATTAAACCCGAAATAAGAACATTGTCTGTATTTATATGTCGATTCTTTAAAATATTTTTGATTTTTAAACGAGTTACGGTTTTAATAGAATATGATTAAGAAATAAGAATACCTACACACATAGATTATGCTCTTGGCTGGCTTTACTCGCCATTTCGCCAAGTACCAACCAACTAAAAAGCCTTTTTTTTTTATAAATCTTAAAATTAACACAAGAAATCTAATATTGATTATCATAATAATTATTTGACAAATCATCTTTCAAAACTATTTTTGTATAATAGTGAAATAAATTAAAATAATATATCAATACAGCTTAGATTATGCAAGATATTTTATTTTTATGTAATATTTGACATACTTACTCTTTTCATAACTTGTTTAAAAATTAAAATACCGTAAAAATACCGAAACACTTACAATATACAAACACGGAAGATTGGATAATATTCTAAATTTAAAGATTTAATAATAGATTAATTTATTTAAAAAAAAAAAAACTAACGACATAAAGTTGCTTTTTTTGAATGTAAACTTTTTATGTATAACATAGAATGTGTCTAAGACGGAGACAATAATGAACACCCACACGCGGGTGAGACGTACTCTTAATAATTTTAGGTGCTTAACTTATAGATATTGATTAAATTTTAAGGGTTAATAAAAGTTCCAAAAGTGATAAAAATTAAGGATAACATTTATCTTAGTACTTTGTATTTTTTTAACAATTAAAATATTTTGTAAGAATGTAGGTAGTTAGAAATTAGTATGGGCAAATGCAAACCTCACTCAGTAATAAAGCAAAGATAATGTAACAAGTAGCAACTAGCAGATAATAATAATTTACGATTCGACCTTGGTAATTTCTTCTAATAAAATAACGTTTGGTAAACATGACCCGATTTAATCCATGAAAGTTGCAAGGAACCATGTTAAGAAAACATAAAAATTGTAAATTATACAATACTACAATAGGTAATGGATACACGAACACCTATACTCTCGTAAAATAAGTATAGTTTATACTTTATAACTTTATAAACATACTATTTAAAAATAAATGATTATATAATCATATAATATAATATTATGTACCTATGATTTATTTTAATATGAATAAAAATAATGTTAATATAAGTAGGTACCTAATATTTAATTAAGTATCCTGGTAAATATCTACCTTGTCGTGGTTTCATTTTCAAATGTAGCCTAGAATCTATATAATGTTAAATTAATTTTTAAAAATAAAAGGTATTTGGACTCACTTTGCATGTAATTATACGGTATATCTATTTATATACATAAAGGTATCTAATTTAAAATATTGCGACACAGTTTAAGCATCAAATTGTTATTACATGAAAAACTGAAATAAATCATTTTAGGAACCCCTATGTTATTTTAATCTTGTTAATAAAGTAATGATATTACAAGTTACAAGAAAAAAATAATGCATTGCTTATAGCTCTACAAAATTCAAGAAATTTTAGGATTTTTGTTTGCTTTACTATGAATCAATGAATTAGGAAGCTATTTGTAATTTTGGAAGATACAGGATTTAATATAAGTACTTATATTTTGATTTATGAACAAATTATTCAGGTCTAATTAGTTTAAACTATAAGACTATAAGATGATATAATTTACAAACCTGAAATGTAGATTGCATCAAAGATACATTGGCCAAAAGTTTTAATAGAGTAATTATTATTATGCACGACTGTAGAAAATAATAAACGTCAATATCATCTAAAAGAAAAAATGTACATTTTAAGTTTCAAAGGTAATGTGTTCTTGTACAAAGAAGAACATAATAGTTTATTAGTTAAATAAAAATAATATATAGGTACTCGTATTTTAAACGCAAATTTATTGGGCATTGGTTGTACAGCATATAGATACCGTCACCTATACATAATAGATGCATATTTTGTAGTCATATGCATAATTTGCAAGAAAAAAAATATTCAATAATTATTGTTTTTGATTCAATGAAAGTTATACGAGTATCTTTATAAATTTAATGCAAACAATAAAAATCCAATTAATAAAATAATATTAATTTTTAATTTAAAAAGGTAATATTAAACGTACCATAAAATTGATAAATCTTATTAAACATTTCGTATACAAAAACACTTAAAAAGAACAGGATTGTACAAATCTGAAACAAAATAAAAAGAATACCTCCAAGTAATATTATACATTTATATTTAAGGTAATTAAATAAAAATCCTGTAAAAGTGTTGTAAACATTGAAAGTTCGTTCGAGAAGGATGATTAATGTGATTTTATTAATTTTTATGCTACTAGAATAAGTTTGTTATGAGTTTATGACCAAACTAGGTCTGCTAATAAGTAGCGTCGTGGAAACAATGCGCAAGCGGTCCCCACGGCGTCATCGATTTTAAACTGAAAAAAAAAGGTCTGCTAATAAGTTTACCTACTCTACATATTTGTCTACACAAGTAATTAATTATAAAAATGTTTATAATTTTAATATGTATAATATCTTTTAATTTTTTTTAATTAAGCTTCGATATCTCATGCTATCATTTGTAACATTTATGTTTGTTACTTTGGGTAATGATCCTGTAGGTTTTGTGAACACGTGTTTCCGTATGTGGGACATCTTCGTTGCCAAGAACCCGCGTTATCATCCATCTGAGAGAACAACACGCTAGAAGGCAGAGTTGGGCGTTATTTGAATGAAATTTTATCTAGATAATTATTTAGATAACATTTTATTCAAATAAATTACTATTCGAATGATTTTATTACAATTTTATTATTCGAATAAAAATTATTTGACTAAATTTCAAATATAGAAATTCTAATAATTTTCGTTTATTTTATCTTGGTAAACATAAGGTTGGTAATTAAAAACAGGCACATATTATAAAAATAGTTGGAATTGTATGTTAAGTTACACGATTGTGAATTATTTTATTATCAGAAAAATGTAAAAATATTTTAAATTAACAAATATCTATTAATAGAAGAAAGTTACTCCCAATTTTGTGCGTGTGTTAATACTGTTAATATTATTATTATTGATCAGCAGTTGACCGTAATGTAGATTTTATATTTAATACATAGGTGTCAAGTGACATACTAATAGTATGTCACAGTATGATATATACGACAATAGCTACATCTAAAAAAATGATTTGATTATAAACTATGTTTAATCAAATTAAATAACCAAAAATTACTCGTATAACTATCTTTGAAAATTATTGGAACACATTTTTATTCGAATAATTGTAAAAAAATTATTCGAATAATTAACTAAATAAAATTTTGCGCAATACTGCCGGAAGGTGCTTGACTGCAGCATTATTTAGTTCTTAGGTATGTAATAATATAATTTATAAATTATAATAGTATTTTAAATATATAGATAAATATCGGTAATTAATTAATACTAATATATAATGCATGGTATAATTAATATTTTATAATTTGATTAAATGGTAGCATTTACAGATTAAAAAAAATGTTTCGTTAAAAAATGTAAATAATAATTAAACCACGTGAAACATTGTCTGTAGGTCGATGTCAATGATGTAAAATATTTTTGTTATACCTACAAATCTTATTCTAATAAATATTATAAAATACACCTACCAGTTCGTAAAACGCTACAATTTTTACTCCTGTACGAAGTGAACACAATCCGTAACACGTTTTAAGCATATTAATAAATTAAAATAATTATTATATTAAATAGTAATTTAAAATTAATGTCTACTAATACGTCTATACTCTTATAATATATTAATTTATATACATATATTTATAATAGGCATAGGACGTACATATACTTCTTTTAGCATCGTTTAACCAGTAAAATATGATAGGTACCTAAAACGGCTACAACTGCTTGTAAATTGTGATTGTCCAGTGTCCTACTAAAACTAAAGTGTTGTAGGTAGTAGTCGATAGATAACATGCATTAAACGACTGAAACGGGTTTTTGTCTAGGGAGAATATTATACGAAACAATTCTTGGGTTTTTCATGATACCTAGGCTGTAAGTTATTATTATAACTATATCACATTTTATACGTTTATTATTTACTTTATCGATAAATAGGTATCACATTGAATTTTATCATTATCATGATTTTTATAGCTATTCAATTTTAGGAAGATAATATCACCGCACTATTGGTATTTTTTCTCTGGCTTGTATGCAACATAAAAGAAAAAAGTTTCATTCAAAATCGTTTTTTTATTTTAGGTTTTTGAGTAATCTTTGAGTAAAATTATTACTCTTTAAAAAAATTATTATAGGAAATAATATTTTGATGGTATGACATGTCGGTTTGTTTAAATATTGCATCAAAACAATTTAATATCCAATTAACTCCAAAATTTTTATTTTTTATTTTTAAAGTGAAATAATAATAAAATATAAAAGTATAAAATTGATATGTAAAATCTTCAAAATTATTGCCTTCTATAAAATACTAAAATTATAATTTTAGTAAAAGGTAAATTTATTCTAAGGTTACTAAAAAAATCAAAGATTTTTCTGAACAAATTTATTAGATTTATTTGTTTTCACATAATTATGTTGTAATTTTATTATTAAAGGTATGCAACGTGCGAGTCTAAGTGATAAAATAAAAATATTTTTTGTTGAAAATAGTAGTGTATAAAGATTCAGGTATAGGTGATATATTTGATATAAATAAATAATTCTTATATTTTATAACTTATCGGCTATCTATTCTTCTATAAGATAAATTCCAAACAATAATAAAATTAAGTACCTATTTGTTTTTAATTTTGAGTGTAATGAAACTTCGGACAATGCAATTTAATAAAATATTTTCTGTTTATTTGAATTACAGCCAGTCAATTTCATTATTAATTATTTATTTTTATTTATTCTGAATTGTTGTGTTTGAGATGTATGACTGTATGAGTATAGGGATAACGTATTGGGTATGCATATCTTAGCTCATATTAAAGTGGGATAAATGTCAATCCCAGAGATTATTCCTTTCTATAAAGTATTTGTGTAATGCTCACATTTCAAAAAATGAAGTAATGTTTGTATCACAAAAGTCAATTAATGATAAATTCGTAATAATGTCTTTTCGTTTTATTACATATACGATATAATTTTGGTTAGCTTATATAAATATTTGATAAATTTAATAAAATAAAATACAATAATAAAATAAATAAAGAATTAAACTAATTAATTACATAATTAAATAATTAAATACATTTATTACAAATATAAGAATAGGTCAATCAATTTTAAGTGTTAATTAAAAAGATAACGAGTTTGCAAAATCTACGATTAAAAAAGTAATTTTAAATTTTTCATCCACAAAATCTTATAGTAATTCATATCGATGTTTACGGTTAACTAAATTAATGAAAATGGGAGTTGTTAACAAGGTATTTTTACATACAGTTGTCTGATGACTATTGTTATTGTTTTTTATATATTATAATATGTAAAATATGATTTATAACTACACTCTTATATAGTCTTATTAATTCTTTTATTTTAAAATGGTTATAGATGAATATAGCCTTAAAAAAATTAGTTTTTTGTGAGAAAAAGGGTTAAAATTAAAATTAACATAACTATTACTGTAGCAACTATACTAATATAATAATAATATAATTATAATATATACACGTGATGTGTTAACATAAATTTCTTAAGCTAAAATTCCTTCAAATTGGGTTTGCTCATCCTTTAAGTTTTGCAGTAAAATCTTGCATAAATATATTATATATGTTTTCTATGAAGTTAAAAATGATTTGTTTAATCTGATAATAATTGTATTATTATAAAATATAATATCTATTTATGCATTATATAAACTGTTACTCATTTTTATATAGGTATAAAAAAAACATGTACACATAACAACATTTAAAAGCTCAGTATAATATTGACTCATGCATACTTCATTAGCCAGTTAACAATTTTACAAAAATATTAATATAATAATAATAATAATAATAATAATAACAATAGCATATGCGTTAATTATAAAGGTAGATAGGTACCTAAGTCAAAATAAACAAAAATAGTACTAATGTTAAAGATCTATGTTTTGAAATTCTTCTTCATCTTGATGTTCAATCTGTGTTGTTAAATCCGAACGCAATCTAGAGTAATTGGTTTCTTCAACTAATTTCTCTTCTTTATAGAACGACTGTACTACTAACAGCTGGTATCCTATGGCAACTAATAATAGAATAAATCATAACGTTACATTTTCATCTTTATGAAATCAGTGGCTAATATTTATTTTACACAGATACTTATTTTAACACAGAATAATTTTACAATAATTTTGCATTTTTTAAGGTCAGTTAATGTGTTTTGTGGGAAGATGGTGTAATTATAAAAAGAATAATTTTATAAACTCCTATAAATTGACAAAATAAAAAATTATATTCAGTATTTTGATTATTTAAAATATGCATTGGGTGGGGGATTACACAATCAATAAATACGCAATTGGTGAGTGTAGAATAAAGCAAAGGTTTCCAAGTTGTGGATCACAGTTATATTTTTGGTGTGTTGTGTTAAGTTTTGAAATGCTTATATATTTTTATATAATATTAAGTGCTATATAATAATATAATGGAATTTACGTCAATAGATAGTGGTCAATTGATAGCGCGACAATTGATAGTCGTGACATTTTTTTAATTCCAGTTTTTCACAAATTTTTCATTAATTAAATTAATAATCATAGGTTCTCACAAATAAACTATAAAAATAATAATAATAGGTTTTCAGAAATAAATTTTAACAAAGTTGTCTATGATTAAAATAATAGCATCTAATAAAAAATTAAAAACTTGTAGTTTGAAAATAATGTACAATCCCTCGTAAATAATCTTTACTTCTTTATTTTTATCATTTTAATCACCACATATAATATTTAGTTTTTTTGTTCGATCATTACACTTTTTTTGATGGTGGTTGATTTTCTGTGACTAATTGTTTGAACTTTCAACCGATTATTTTAATTATTGACAACTTTGTTAACATTTGTTTTTGAAAACCTATTATTATTATTTATATAGTTTATTTGTTAGAACCTATGGTTATTAATTTAATTATTGAAAAATTTGTGAAAAATTGGAATTCAAATTTTTTTATGAAATTAACAATTGTCGCGCTATTAATTGACCATTATCTATTGACTATATTGTACATTGATGACTGATGATAGGATTTAATTTTATAATTAATTATTATTTTTATAGATTATAAAGTAAATATCGTTCTGCTTTACATAAGTATCGAGTGGATATAATTATATCTAATGGGTGTGTTAAATTTGAATTCTATGATACATCACTGTATATATAAGAAAAATGATTTTGAGCGGAGATCAGTGGAATGGAAAACGATAATCACGGAAGCAATTGCCTCTTAAATTTTTTTTTTTAAATAGAAGGTTGATTAGTGGTCGGTGGGTTCTTAAATTGTAAATATAATATTACGATAATCAATAGGTGGTCAACAGTAATTTGAAATATAATTGATTGTAGTCTATTATCATGCATTAACTATATCGATTTATGTTAAACACTTTTCCTCCCCATCATTTTTTATACATATGTATATATATATAGTGGTCTATGGTGAGTAGGTCCGTGGTATGTTATTCTTTGTCTCTGGAAAATTTTCAATTTGCCACGCTACTGGGTGGAGATAGTCTGGTAGTCTAAGTATACTTCATGATATACTTTGATATAACTATTAGTAATTTATTAAACTTTTAGTATTATAATAGGTTGATATAAATTTTTTTTAAATATTGTAGGTATTTATTATATTATTAGTATTTAATTGTTATATTAATATATATTTATTATTTATACCATATGATATTATTGTTATTAATTTTTAAGTTATAACTACCTTAATATAAATACCGTAAAACAGTGTAAATTAGTTCATACTTTTTATAGATATTATCTTAAATTCATCTAAATAAGTATTTTAGAAATTTCATTAAGTATAATAAAATATATTATTTACATAGTTTTTAAATTCTCATAATGGTTTTGAATTATAACAAAATAGGTAATAAACATAATTATTCGTTGTTAAAATACGTAATTTTATCCAAATTTGAACTAAAAATATGTATAAAATTAATTTAGCTTATATATTTTCAAGACTTTTTAGTTCTAGTATAAAATATTTAAGAGGAAAATTGTATTATATTTTTATATTTTAACCATAAAAATTAAATATTAATAATTTTTTTACAAATTACATGTAGTTTATAATTGTCGTCATTTTGAAATTTTTTTGTAAATTTTGAAACCTAAAATGTGAAAAAAAAATTGTGCTTATGCATTTTTATAAGATAGAAAAAAAATACATAATTGTTAAATCAATACCTACATTAACCGATTTGCTCAAAATCTAAAAAAGGCTATTATGAGTTACCAAACTTTAAACATTTTTAAACCAGGAAAAGTTTGGGAATTTTTGATAAAAGGCATAATTGGTATTACACTATATTTACTGTTATTACTTATATCATATGTCAGAGTAGTACAAATAAGTATATTTTTACCGTCCAAAAGCGCAAAGAAAATGATCAATCCAATTATATTATGTTTGATGAAATATGGATGTTTCATAAGTATAACAATTTCAATGGTGAGAACTGTGCCAAGTTGGACATAGCCAATCAAAAGCCATAGATAAATCTTGTGTGTTGCATTCTAAAAAAAAAAAAAAAAAAAAAAAAAAAAAATAAACTTAAATATTGTAATTTGTACTTAAATATCTAAAATATCATAGTATGATTGTGTACCTTTTTTGATTAATTTAAAACTCTTAATAAATAAATATAATTGATAAACATTATAATAGATAGTACCTACTTTAAATCCTACATAGGTATTATAGATATACAATTTAAAATAAAATTAAAGAATAATATAATATATAATTATACGGAATCAATTGGGTATATGATAAATTATTTATTTTTTTTTTAATTTATATGTATTCAAATAAAATATGTAAAATATGTAGGACCTACATTGTAGTTAGATGTTTCCTTAATACGCATGATGTACATAGACCAATGAAAAATGAAATAATGAGAGTTTAAAATTTTAACAACGTTTTAATCTGAGAAGAATCAATTTTTTCTTTTTTATTAATCAATAAATATCTACTATGTGTAACAGAATTATTACATTAATTTGAATAAATCATTAAAAGTCAAAAAATCTAAAAATTTATTTTGGTAATTATTTTATTTTTTAAAGTTGTAATTACTAATTAGTGTCACATAAAACTAAATAAAATTACATGTTTTAATCTGTATAATCGTATATTTACAAAAATAGTAATTTGTGCCACTTTAAAATGATTAATAACATTTTTTTTAAACTTGTTTATATAAATATTAAATAATTTATCAATCAAGTTTATTTTTATAGATACATTTAAAAAACTATTAAAATGTATAACAAGTAAAATAAAAAAAAGGTTAACTAATTTTTATTATAATTTTTAGGTATAGGTACGTATTTACTGCTTAGTGTAGTATAAATAAGTAGCATTTTAGTTAATAATAAAATATGTAAAAAACAAATTTATTTTAATTAATGGTCTAAATATTTCTTATTATTAATAACCCGCTTTATTTATTCACTTTTTATATGCTACTAGCCGATCCGTCACGGCTTCGCCCATGATTTGTTGTTTATTTTGCCTTCGGACGATGATATATTGATATGTAGAATTTTTTATTCAAATTTTATCGTTTAATAATGTAAGTATAGATAACGTTTAATTAAAATGTATTTAAATGTTTCTGGCAGTATTAAATATTTGGTATAACCTTTTGAAAAAAAAAATTGGAAAAATGTTAAATAGTGTCGTCAGAAAATTGGAACATTTAAATACAATACACCTCTTCCAGACAAAAAATAATTAAGAACCAGGTGATGTGGTGAATGGAACATAAAAAAGACCAGTTCTTGCGGACCTCGCAGAGAAGCCCCAAAAAGAGAAAAAAAAGAACTTAATCATTAAATTTTGAGTTAATTAAATCTTACCATTATACAGTGTGAATAAATGCATGGTATAAGTAGATACATAATATCTTTAAATTAATGTACTTAAATAATACTAAATATTTCAAAAAATCCTATTTCTCAGTTAATAATCGTATTATAATTTGTAATTAAATATATTTAATTTTAATCATATGAATAACTTAGTCTATGGTGTCGGCCAATAAAGGGTTTTGAAAAGTTTCTTTTGCAGCCAATGGTCAATGAACTCATGCACTTTTATTATACAAATAGGTATATTGATACCTGATATGTTGAACTTTTAACGTACATACGATGTTGCTTGTTTCAATCCAAAACTTGCGAACAGTGAAGTAAATCCAACGAGCATAAACACTAATGTGATGTAATTCAAAAACACTTCTAAAAACAGATACATTCGTATTGCATTAAATTAAAAATTAAGTATTTTAGAAAATATAAGCAGTTATAATAATGATTATAGGATGTAACGAGCAATTGCTATCATAAAAATATTATTAAGTTACTGTTCATGCCAATTAATATAAATGTACAGTAATATACCGAAATTAATAATTTTTCTAATTTTTGTCTGATTATTTGTCAACAGTAAAATTAAATAAAAGTTTAATTAAAAGTATAATATTTTGTTTTGTTATAACTCTTAATGGTTGATTATTTGATATTATATATTATTTTCATTAAAAATAGTTAAAAAATTGAAGTAATATGCGGGAAGATTTTTTTAAGAAGATAATAAAAAATGGTTTTTCCATTATATATCATAAATTTGTAAAATATTTATGTTTTTTTTTTTAATATTATGGTTATTTTTTGATAAATATACCATGATCTACGATATATTTATATTAATAAGTTAGTAGAAATTAACTAAAATATTCTTAAATATACTTGGATTGCTTATTATTATTTACCTATACTACAGTATTCTGCTAAAGGAATAATACTAATTTTCACCACCTCATCTGTAATATAGCCTAATTTTAATGAATTTATGAAAAAAATAAAATATTTATATACATTGGTTATTGAATTCGATACTACATGGAAAAAAATGACGTAGAACATGATATTTTAGTGTTGATTTAATTTATAGTCATTAATATAAAATATTAATAAAATTAACAGTGACAACGTTTATTGAAAAAAATTCAAAGAGGACAACTTCCACCTTGCAGCCAACTTCTTTGTTAATATATGTAGGTAAAATATATGTATGTAAGAATTAGTTATATTAATAATTAATAAGTTAATTTATTTACTTTCTGTAATTTGTAATAATTGATCAATTTCAATGTCTTCCCCACTTTTCCTCATTTCGGGGACATCATAACTTACAATATGTTCCCAAATGTAATAACAAATATAACAAATCGATGCAATCTAAAAAAAAAATAAATATTTGTCACTATATTTAATACATTTTAATTTATTTTAAATAGTATGCGTAAAACTAAAATTTGAAAATAAAGTTTAAAAGTTTACTGAAAATATTTTTGGAAAATAATTTTTTTTAAACAATATTTTCAAGTTTTGGGCTGACAAGTGGTTCGTTATTCATTACTTAATCGCTAGTGTGTAGGTACACGTCACACGTCATACGTTTGGTTAGACAAACATTGTTACATAATATAAATTATCTATTACTTAGTAAATAATAACTTAAGTACACATATTTGATGTAGTTTGATTAATGTATACCAGTCAAAGGAATCAGAATTTGTAATTTAGCAGAATATGCCATTTTATCTAATTATAATAAAATATTAAGATTATGTGCTCGTGTAAGAGACTCTAAATGAAAGGGTGCGGTGAGAAAAATATTTTACAAGATTAGTTTTAATTTATTTTCGCACCATTAGACCAAAGCCATAATTCATAATTTCATAAGTATTTAATAAAAAATAAGTTTTTTTAAGGTGACAAACATGATAAGACATTCTATCACTCTGTAAAACTTTTAGTAATGTGTAATGTAAAATATATTATTGAAAAGAATTCAAATATGAAAATTAAAACAATAATATTAATTTAACTTACCAAATTAATAATCGCGATAATATTTGTTCCTGTCCGTAAGGGCAATCCAAAGCACGATGAAAGCATATTTTATTATAAACAATTCACAAACGTTGGTTTAAAAGAGTAGTTATTTTCTATAAAATATATAAAATATTTGTTCGAACTGGATGAATATAGAAACACAACTATACAGTGTTTGTTTGAAATTATCAGGAAGGAAACGAATGATAAGTTGACCTTTGCATTTTATCGGATTGAATGGAAAATAAAAACTTGATATATATATATATATATCCGTTTTGTTGCTTAATATAAATAAATATTTCATGTTGATATAAGATAATAATGAAACTCTAAACAAAACACATTTTACTTATATCAAATATGCAACAAATATATAATATACCTACCTTAATTTAATTACATACTATATACCTAAATAATAATAAATTGCTTACCTAAATATAAACATGTGTAAATAACCATCTGATAGACATTAATTAGTAATTAGATATTTTGTGTATGATATAAATTATTTTATAATATTTTATATATTATACATAATATATAAATTTTCAATTTTAACTTGCAGACAAATTGTAATATTATTGTAATGTATAAATCTTTCACTTTCGGTAGGTATATTTATTAAAACACAATAAAGTTTTAATAAGTATACATTATAATTTTATTTCTGTATTGATACCTGTTGTAAAAATATTAATACCTATTACAGTTAGGTAACAAATGGATAAAAATTAATTATTAAAATAATATATTAAAATATTAAATTGTTTAGTTCAGTACTTACATAGATAACATATATATACATATACATATACATTAAAAAAATTATCGTAATTTTACATGTCTTGTACAGACTACTTATATAACATAACAGTACCAAGTTACCTACCTAACATGTAAAGACAAAAAAGAACGCTACACACGCGTGCGTTGCCTCCGTTATACAAACATGCAACATACCAAACTTCATTCACTAGAATAAATTGTGTGTTGTTAGCTTTAATATTGTTGTTGTTAACTTTGATAATAGGTTAATTTACTCAAATATAAAGTTAATAGTACATAATTGGCAATTGGTTCTACTGAACGCAAATTTGCCATGTTCTATGTTTATAAAACGGAGGCAACACATTCGGGTGTAGCGTTCTCTTAATTATAATAACAAAATTATATGTGGGCATTTGATAAAACTTAAATTTACATTCAAGTGTGTTCAATGTGTTCATGTTATAATGTAAATAAATAATATACTTAAAATATTGTCAATTATACAATATTAATTGGTGTTTATATCTGCATATATGTATATGTATACACAATACACGTCATGATTTAAATCTCATCGTTTTAAGTAAAAACTGATTAGATTATTTTTATACTTAATACTGAATAAAATATCTAATAGGACTTAGATCAAAGATATTAGATAGATTTACTAAGGTAAGATGTATATAATTCAAGTTTAACATATTCTTTACTGCTTTTAAACATTTCATTTTTCGCTTTTATAATATAAGACAATATTATCACGAATAAAAGTGTGATTGAAATATTAATTAATAAGTATAATTATTGTATGTACGTAAATCCAAATGATTATTTGAAATAATCATTACAAAATTGTAATAACATAACATCAGCTAATCTTAATTTATTGATTCATTGTACCAACTTTGAAAAATCTCTTTTAGAGTTCCTTCCAATTTTCACCAACACATGTTTACACTATTTAATTTGTATAGTTCCTTTTTTGCTTCTCATTTTCTCAAACATTATGGTTTTTTTTCCGTTTTAAACCGACAGCAGAGAAGGATCTGTGTGAAAAATACTACTCCTCTGCCATAATTTATTAATGTTTAATAAAAACGCTAATACATGCACATACTTAACACATAAATAATTATGGTTGATTCATCTTAAAAAAAAATAAAAAAAAAATATTAATACAAAAACATTATGGTTTAAACGTATTACTTCGCTATTGTATGTTTGTTGGCAATTCCGATCCCTCATTTTTCTTCGTATATATTATAATTACTTAAGTATTTTTAAAATATTATTAGCTCTTATTTGAAAATGTATTATGAGATATTTGTTGTTATTATAATTTTATATTCACATTGTTATAACGTGTTAAATATGCTTTTTTTTTGTTATGAACTTAAAAATGCACAAATTGTCTGTACTTCGTTTGTGTTATTAAATTAAGTTAATTCTTTTAGACAATTTTTTGCATGAACAAAAACTAATGAACTTATTTATTATTATTATTCATATAAAGTGTAATTTTATTCCAAAATTGTTTAAATTAGATCACTTAATAGTTAATTGTTTACTACTGGTTTTGATATTTTATTGATAATCACATGTAGGCGTAATCTTACAATCGTGTGTATTAGTTATACAATTAGAAATCATTAATATATTTTCATATCTATATAGATAGTAGATATATTTAAATACACAATTATATAATACTATTTTCGTATTAATAATTAAAAATTACTAATTTTGTTATAAAATAATTTTGCATTTGGTATACTTTAGTAAAAGTTTATTTATAAATAACTATTATTGTATAGGGCGTAGGCACATACACTTATATTTATTCAAACCATATACACGGATTTAATTAAATATAAAAAATTATTCTATTTATAAAGAACATGGAAGACGTTTTATTATGTTCTACACCGCAAACTATCACTGTAACAAAATGTAGCCCAATTTCATTACACAATCTTAAGAATTTGCGTGACGCAATTCTTTTACAAATATTGGGATGTAATCGGATTGGTCTTGTGTTTGTTCAAGTGAATTATCTGATATTATTATTATTGCAGATTTATTTTGATCCGACGGTTTCTTGGACTTTGGTAAATATTTCCATTTTAATTGGAAAAAATCGTTAACTGCAGTTAACTTTTGTTGTTTGTAATACAATTGCACAAAGTAGATTTCGACCACAAGAAATGCTATTTCTACGAAACCCTGAAATACAAAAGGAAGTATGTATTTAATAATTTATAGAAGTACAGTACAGTATAATAAATTATAAACATTTATTAATAATGATTAATGACGTATTATTTTGGAATTAAGGAAATACTAATTTTAAATATAATATTCACGCATCTAGGTAATATATTTTTTTTTACTGACAATATATAAATAAATATATACATATTTAAATATTAATAATAAATTGTACAAACCACAAAAAATCCTAGATTATCACCATAGTCGTTTAACTGAGAGTTGATGAAAATTTGACAAATTATTCCTGAGGCTAAGTTAAAATAATAAATCACTAACCAAGCATAAATCTTTTCTGGAGACACCTATGAAAGAAATTCAAAAAGTACCTATTATTTCTAATTGGAAATAAAATCTTACAGTTTTAAATAATCAACAAGGACTATAATTTTAAGTATAATAACTATAAAATTTTTTTTGTTTATATTTTATTAAAACCGAGAATGTTGCAAATGCCGTAATATTTATAATTTTGTATAAAATTAAAGGTAGATTACTAATTTAAGGTTTCATTGGTATTTTATTAAAATCTGGTTTATTTATACGTAATTTTTGAAATATTTCGTTTATTCTTATATCGATATATATATTTTTTTTAAAGCTGAAAACTTATTTATATTTTCTTATTTTTTATAATATTCTATTTATACATTAATTTACCTGTATTTATATTAAAAAACAAAAATTAATTATAATAATATTATAATTTGTTGACGAAATTTTATTTTGTGTTTTAAATATTTTAATGGATTTCTATAAATATTATATACTTAGATATTTTGTTTTATATGTATTTAAAATTTGTGAATTTTTGGATACATTTTTATTTTAAATTTCCAAAAAGACAAATTAACAAACTATATGTTCTATTTATTATTGTAATATATTTCAGTTATCATGTGCACAATGTACAAATTATAAACAACATTAACATAGGTATAAGGTACTTACTGAATACGTTGATTCTTTTAGGCTAATGTTTAAATAGAATTCCATCACATTCCATCCCAATTTTACTATAAATATGTAATCCATAAAAATTTCTATAACCATATAATAAAATAAATTAATATTTGTATACTTATTAATTTATGCATGTACACATTATTATTAAGCAATTTAGATTAGTTTGAACTCTTATCACCAAGCTCGGTTAGTATCGATTGATTAATTTGTTGAATGCTGTACGATGATTGGAGGAAAAAGTTAGATTTAATAATTATTAAAATTATTATTAGGGCTGAAACTTAATGTAGTAAAAATATGGAATATGTATTAGAAATATACACTAACTATTTTTAATTATGTGAAAATTTATGTTATAAATATAATGCATATGAAATATTGGAATTGTATATATTTATATTTTAAATGAAAAAAAAAATAAATTGATAACATATGAAATTGCAAGTATGTTATATAATATGTATATGCAAGATAAATTTTAATTTTAAAATATCAGCACTTAGGTTTTTAAGTCGAAATTCCTTCGCTGAAAGGCTACTTAAATATATCGTTTAAACCATATATGAGTATAATTGATCATTACTTTCAATTATTGTTTTATTTGTTATAAACGTGTATTATATTATGAAAAAAAAGATTTTCTAACAATTTAAATTTATTTTTAAATTTATAATTTTCTAAAATATGCAATTAATTATAGGTATCATAAAAAAAAGTTATATACACTGACGTTTAAAATATACAAAATAGAATTTGTTGTGAATCATATTTTTTGTTTCTCTTCTTTCGAACTTTTTTAAAAAATTAATTAATTCCCAAAATCAACAAATTTATAGCCCTGCTTATAATTTATTTTAAAGTGTGAAATAATAGTAAGAAAAGATGGAGTTTTTGTTAGATTTTTAAATACAATAATTATATAATATCTATGCCACCGATTATTAATAAAATAAATAAATACTTAACACTCAGGATCGGTGTAATTTTTTTTGGCTGATAAAAGTCATTGGCTGTAGAGTTGAAGTGTAATAGCGTATCTTCATCAGGATAAAGATTAGGATTTAATGTTTGTAATGTAGTATTTTCAAAACTGGTATGCTCAAAGTATAGTAGATGATAATTTGATAAACGGTGTAAGAAATCACTCATTATTACAAATGTGATGAAAAACTAAATAAATAACAAATAATATAATATTTAAATATGTAAAACTGTCATAAGTTTAATTACGAGCTTTTAGTAATCATTAGACTTAAAAATTTATAAAATAAATAAGTATACAAAAATACTATTAATTGGTTTTTGATCAGTCTTTACGAATCTCAATGTAGGTACAATTATTATATTCTGTTGCGTTAAAAATTAATTTGTTAAATTATTATTATATTGTTTTCTATGCTCATTGAATAAAAAATATAGTTTTAAACTTGTAAATTTTAAATACTCAACCTTAAATTAATTATTAAAACTGAAGTGTATAATGTATATACTTTATAGTATTAATATTTACATAAATTGAATTTAGTATTATAATTTAATTGGTTTCATATAATGTATTAATAGTAATTATATAATATCACGATTACTAAATAGTATTTAAATGAGTAAGGAAATTAAATGGTAAATAATCATGTAAGTAGCATATGTACCTATTATTATAAGTATATATTACTACTATATTACTTACTATGTTAAAAATGTAAATACAACTAACGCCGTGACGAAGAGAACAACACCCAAAACACGAGTTTGGCATAATTATCACAGTATGTATATTATTCAAAGTTTGAAAAAAAGTGAAAGCATTAATACATAGTTTAAAATTATATTATATTAACGATTAATAATTTAATTTTAAATGTAATTGTTCACTATATTATATCAATCAAAGAGACACCATTTCGTTTTCTTTTTATTTTCTACATATGTTGATAACTTAACAAACTATACTTATAAACTAAACACTAGACACATATTTAATTTATAATAATTATATGATACTAATGTTTTCAAAATAAATAAAAGGTTCATCTGTCAAATCTTTATTAAACAAACATGCATTTTGTACCTTAGTCTGGGTATGAATAATGTAGATAAAAAACAGCGATTATATTATTGATATATTATTATATAGTGTTATATAGCTACAATTAATTATTTATCATTAGTAAAATGATAAATGGTAACGCATTTGTGTTGAGTATTTAATTTTATACACGGCGCGATAACTTTACACTAAACTTTTTTTTAGTTTTAGTAAAAAAAATATATGAGGAAACATGAGTTAAATTTTTAAGTTTAAGCCACTTAAGGTGATAAGATTAAAAATATTCATTATATATTCATTATATATTCATTAAAAAATAAATTATATATTTTTAAAGTGAAAATAGATATTAATTAAATGTATTTTTGTAATTTTTTAATTTTTTTTATAAATAATTATGTAGATCCTTGTATCAAAATATCAAGCATATTTTACTTGTCAACAAAAATTTTATCGTGAAAATATAAAATAAAACTTGAGAAAATCAAACATTTGAAGTATTTATACCACTAACAAAGCAAACTATTTTGAAAATTATTTCATGCCTAAAAAATTATAATAGTGTGAAAATTACAAATGTTTTTCGTTATTTATTTTTGAATTATAACAAAAAACAAAATTAGTTTTGCGTAAATATTCTTATTTTTTTTTTTTTCTGTTAATTGCTTTTATATTTTCCGATTATCTTGAAAAACATTGGGAGTTTTTTTACGTTAAACAAGTAACAAACTTTTCTAATCTTCTACTAAATATCACTTAAATTTTTAGATTTAAAAATATATATTTCTAGAGAAAAATTATTTAAGTCATTGCAGAAAATTTTCAAATACAACACAATTTTTTAACAAGTAATAAGTATAGAATATTATAAGTACAAAGCAAAATAAAACATTACTCAGTATCATTTATGAGGTTTAAACTAAGGTTTTTACATTCTTTTATACGTAATTTTTTTTTATTATCTTATCTGTTTGTTATTTATTTTCAAATTTTTAAAATAAAATAGCTTAATTTATTATGTCATATTAATTTTACTTTGAAAAAAAAACGATTATAATAATTGGGGCATGAGCACAGGTTTATATTTTATTTTCACGTGTTTTAAGTGGATTTTATCCCGTCTGGGTTTTATTTCAAAATAGACCAATCTTATGTCAACTATGCTTATTCTATAAATCCTTAAAATAAAATATGATAAAACTTTTGAAAATATATTTAGATTTGTTATACAGTTTACTTGAAAGTAATCTTTTCATTCCTAAGCTATTAAAAATTAAATTTTTAAATTTTATACATTAGGAATTTTTAAATGATAATAATATTGAAATAATAAAATTAATTTAAAAATGTAAGAAAATCGTTTTCAATCGAATTTCATAACTAATTTATACTTAGGTTAGTTAACCTTAAAAAAAATTCGTTTACGCATAGCCGTCAGTCATATACACTAATTACTTATGGTTCATAAGTTATGACTTATGCCTTATAATTTTATAAATAATGATCATTTACTGTGCAGTGCACGCATTTACACGATCACACGCACATACTTAGAAAATCACCTATATTGAATTCTTTTAAACTCTTCTTACTATGTGGCTTTATAAGTAGTAAATCGCATACGTGATAACGTAATGATAATATGATAAAAGTATACTTATAAGTCATACTCAACTGTATAAAATTGTTATAATATATATAATTAAGAAAATATTATTGAAATATTTTTCTATTTTTATCGACTTAAAAATTTAGTGTGACTATATTTTTAAGAGAATATTATTTTAACTTTTAATTAAAATATAAATATTAAATAATATCGATTAATTTAGTTTTTACTTATTTTATAAGATTTAACGTTGAAATAAAAATAAAATAAAATATTAATAGTTGTAATATAATTTAATAAGTTATTAATATTGACATATAATAGGTACTTATAATATTTTGGTATTTATAATATATTAAATATTAATATTTATTTTAATTAATTATAATGCATGCAAGTATAAACAATGTGACTATTACAATATTGACTAGGTACCAGTTAAGAAAATCAAATAGGTATCTACGTATCATTAATTAAAATGGTTTTGAATTATTTAATTTTTTTTTTTAATAATGACTATAACTATTTTAATAATAATGTACCTTTTGATAACATTTATAGCGAAGAATAAAGATTTTATATTAGGTTAAAATATAGTTGGATAGACTCGAATATTTAATTTAATATAATTAAATACCTATCTAGTTATTATACTATCATTGTATTTAATTTAGGAATAATATCAATCAAAAAATCAAAAGTTTTAAATGTGATATTTGGCTTACAAAAATTAAATTGATAAATTTTCAAAATCTATAAAAAAGAAATACTCCTTAAAATGTAACATGATATGAGTTTTTTCAATTTTATTTGTTGGGCATGGGAACATATTTTAAACATGTCAGTTAATTCTGTATAATGTTGGTTATGTACGGTGGTATTCTAGATCCTTCTTGGGTTTGACCTGATGTTATTGCGTTGAAAGTCGATGACGAAGAATAATCGACACCTTTAGACACTACTTGTCCACGTGATACGTATTTCCATTTGAGTTGTATGATGTCATTAAGCATATTTTTTTCTTCAAAAATATAGTATGAGTGGATTATAGTGATCTCAAAACTTATAATAACTATGTAAATCAATTTCTAAAACAATAATCATAATAAAAAATAAAAGTTAACATTTTGTTAAAAGTAATAAAGTATATAGGTTATTCATTTTATATTGTAATAAATAATTTATCATTGTAGTACTTAAAAACAAACAAAATTACCTCTCCCTACCAAAAAAAACTCAACTAAAAACCAATTAATTAATTTAAAAATGTGTATAAAATTAGTGAATTTAATCTTTATAATTGTGTAAAAAAAAAATTGTATCAAACATGAATATTTAATTTTTTAATTGTTAATTGACTTGTCTTATACTTTTTTAACTTATTTCGTTATGTCAGAGATAATATAAAATATTATCATAATATTTTTATAATAAATGTACTTATTTTGTATTCATATTATCTACCACGCGTTACTAGTAATCGTCATAAATACAGCAATATATTTTTTTAGTCTCAGGTAGGACATTTTAAAACATATATAGAAGATATTTAAAATTAACTTATTTATTTTTAATTTGTTTAAACATGTAAAATATTAAATTTTATTATAATACGCATTATAAAGTATTTTATGTTTACATTATACGATATGTCTTTAATTGCTTTTTTTACTATAACCATTATAACCATATTTTAACACATGGAAGTTTTTTTAAAAATTTACATATTTTTTTTTTTTTTTGTTGTAAATAGTTATCAATATCTACGAAAATATTATCTTGTAAAAATTGGAAATTAAGATGTTTTTTTAGAACAATAATATTATTATAAAATAGTTTTAAAAAAAATCACAAATAAATATTGTACATTTAGTTACAAAGTTATATACTAGATAGTAAATTATCTTACTATTTAAATTTCTATGTAAATTAATAATCATGTTCAAATAGTTTAAAATGTACCATTGTAAATATCAATAATTGTAGATAGCCAAGTCTAAGAACATCTTATTTTATCTTAATAAAAAAAAAAGTTATCAAGTTGAAAATTGAAAATTTTCTTTTTAGATATTTCTATACAAAAAATGAATTACAATCCTTTAATAACATTAGAAATAAAAAAAAACTATGATAAGTACATTACAATAATACATGTATAATTGTTTTAAATTTTAATACTAATATATATAATATTATATTATTATTGAAGTTTTAATTATTATGATTATTTAATATATTATACATACCGCAAAAAAAGGTCCAAAATTTTGGCTTATCATTGTTAACAACGAATTTACCAAAATTGGATGTCGAATCATCATTGTTATGTAATGGACCAAGTGCAATATCATAAATAATAAATTTGCGTAATAAACCACTAGCCATGCGTAGATTTTTTGAGGAGCACGCTACAATGAGTAGACACAAAATAATTACGATAATACCTATGTTTCATTATTTATTATAGGTACTAAATATATACACATTATATATATTACTTTGAAGGTGGATTGCTTGAGACAGCAGTTTGAAATTAATTCTAAAACTATCCAACTGACTGTAATTATAAATATATAGTCCATGTATACTCCTGTTAACCAATTCGAGTTCATAGTTAATCAATATGAAAATTTTATTAAATAAATATAATGTATGAAATAAATTTGAAAATATGCTATTGGTCAAGTTTTGAACACTTACCACTCATGACAGGTATTTTTTCGATATCTGACCAGTAATCTAAATCATGTTCTGCAGTGCTATTGTCATCAGTAGAATTTGAAGAATTATCATATGAATGTTCAACCCAATCATATCGATCATATTGTTCTCTACGATGTGCAATGTGTTTAAAACCTTCCGTAATATTCCAAATCTATAAAAGTAAAAGGTATAATATGATATACTTAATAAAATTAATATTTAATGAACGAAGTGACTGTTGAATTAATGTAAAGGTATATTTTTTTAGTTGTTCATCTATTGTCACATTTAAAGCAGTAAAAAAGATTTAAATTTCAAATTTAGTGAGGTTTTTGGGTAGAAAGTTGGATTTGATTGGTATTTGGAAAAAAAAAATCAAGTTTCAAGTACTCTTTACTTCAAATAATTAAGAAAAACAAACCAAAATTTGGAATATATTTACTTAACTTAGTTTTGTATAAAATTATATTAGTTTCTCTATTGTAATTTATAAAAATAATAACCGTACATTTTTACAAAAAATTTAAATGAGAATTTTTTAGAGTTTGTTACTTTTTAGGTATTATCATTTTTTTTTTTTTTTTTATAGAAATTTGAATTTCTAATTTTAACAATTCTGAATAACAGAGTAAATTCAAAATAAGTAAACAGGTGAAGATTTCCTTAGTTTTTCAATTGTTTAATTCATTTAAATCTATTTTATAGACTTATAATGATAGTTATTTAATTTTAATTGTTATTTGATTTGTACTAAAACATTGTACTAATACAGCATTAATTTTAATAGCGAAGATTAAAGATTTTTTTTTTATTAAATAATTCTTAACATCTAATATTATTTAATTTTGAATTATATGCATACTTATAATATAATTTTTAATTATCATAATATACTTCATGTTAGTATATAATACAATTTCGAAAAGGTTATAAATAATACACCTACAACAAATAAATATTTTAGTATAGATAAGTTGAATCATTCTCTATTCATCTAACATTTAAACGCTATTTGTTAAATTATATGAAATATCTTTATAGATATTTAAGCACCAGTATAAATGATAACATTTTAGTGTCCTTTCTGAAATGAAATCTCAGATAGTTTTGGTGCAATAATATTTATTTATTTTGTTAACAACGAATAAAGATTTGTTTAAATGTATTTTGTTTTTTATTTTTTATTTCTAAACATAAATATAAACAATAATATGATGCACAGTATGTATACTAAAATGTGAAAGATTTTTAGGATTGTTGATATTAGATATGAGCAAGCAAGATGCAGGTACAAAGTTCTATATTTTGTTTTATTGTGTCATAAACTTGTTAATACGTATAGCAGTTAAATAAATTAAATTAATATTGTTATATGCAAAATAGAGATACATAAATGATTTATTTTGGACAAATAGCAGTTATAATATATTATATAAAAATTTTTTAAAGAAATTATTATTTTTTATTATTAACTGTAATTTAGATTATGTTGTGTAAATTTTAATTTCGAATTTTCTCATTAAAATAATATAATAACTTTTTTTTTTTATTAATTATTGTTTGATTGTATTAATTTTATTAAATACGATATTGGTGTTATTAATACTCATTTTATTATTAATAATATTAATCACATATTGTTCTATGTTATCAACGGAAATATAACGTAACAAATAAAAACATAAAGAATAAAATAAAAATATAATATGTTTTGTGTATAATATGAAATGTGATTAAAATAACAATTTTTATAAATAATAACTAAAAGAATAATATTAATAACATTAAAATGCGCAAACACATTTTGTAGGTGTAAAATAAATAAATTATAAACTAAAGACAATTATTTTAAGTTCTTACTATGTTTATAAGGGCAATCGCACTGACACCATGACGTAGTGGACAACATCCGAAACACGTCTTTAACATAATATCAAAAATAAAATAAAAATCACAACTCAAAATGTTTTTTTAATAAAAAATAACTAATAATTAACTAATTCATTAAGATAATTATTATGATATAGACATAGAGGTTATTATGTAGGTAGTTTAAAAGTTAAAGGTGGTGTATTGTGTTTTTAGTAATTTTTTGTACACGCACCAACACAATTGGGAAATGACTAATTTATTAATGATGAAAAAAATGACTGAGAGAACATTTTATAGTTGTATACTATCGTACTGTAAGCTTGTTATGATATAAACATTGTAAGTATATATTATGTATACATAACATTTTAATAGAGCTGATAAAGTATTGCATAGTTACAAGTACAAAAGATGATAAGTGATGGTTATGTTGGTCTATATGATCTAAACGTCCTGTTTCATTTAGTTATACTTCTACAACGCTGTGCAAAGTACACGGTATTTGTACATTATTTGAGTTATCGAAGGAAATACGTTTCGTTTGATTTTGTAATTATATCATTATAGATTTAAATATTTTGAATAAAATATACTAAAATGAAACACAATTGAAATTATCATAATTCATAAATATAACATAAAACTATTATAAATTATAAACAAAATATTAATAATTAAAAATATATTAATTTGTTAAACTTTTTGTCATAATTGCTGTTAAAAATATAATTTATAGATCAAAATTCAATATTATTTTATGTATAAAAACAGCAAAGCGGTAATAATAATATACACAAATGTTTCATTGAAATCTCATAGAGTTGAATACAAAATTGGATAAACTTTTAATATTATTATATACACTAATCTGTCAACATAAAAAAAATTCTAGTCTTTATAATCGTAACCATCGCCAAATAGATCCAAAATTAAATTAAATTCATAAATTAATGTAGTTTTAACATTGGCACTCAAAATCGGGACTAAAAAGAAAATGTTATTATTCCAGCTAGAAAGCTAGAAAATTATAAAAATTAAAAAGACATTTTATTATGTTCTATATGTATACCTAATAGAGCTTTTTAAATAATTTTGTATTTTATTGATTTATATATATATTTATTGAATTATTTATGTTAGTTTTAAGCTTTTTCTCTCATAGAAAATCAATTGTTGTATTTAATTGTTATTTATTTATATCATTATAAATATATATCTATTATTTAGTAATTTATTTTGATCTATTTTGTAATTATTTAATTTTTCATTTTTTTTCTCAAAGTGTTGTATTAAGTTAGTATAGATTAAAAATTATGTATACCGTATGGTGTTATTAAAATAACTATCTTCTTTGCTTTTGAACTAAGTTTAAAATAATAATTCAAATTATATAATACGAGTAGGTGATAAATATTGTATGAAACAAATATTATGAAAAGTAATAATCAAGTTAAATAATATACAGAAATATTTTATTTCATTATTATTATTGAGCAAATTTACACCATACTAAATTTGCGTTCAGTAGAACCAATTTTGTGTTGGTACCTTTAGTATTATAAACAATAATTGTTTAATTATTAAACAATAACAAAAATCATTATTAAGAATTACATTATCTATGTTTGTATCTAAGATTTTTTTACAACATATTATTTTTTAAATCATTTAATATGAGTATGCCAAGAGAAAAAAAAAGTAGTGAACGATTTTATATAATGGTATGAGGTTGCAGTACATCTCAGTATTTTGTTGCTCCAGTAAATAATATTTATTTATTTAACTAGATTTCTCTCAAGAATACATTGGGCTTCACTTAGTGCTATAGTACTATAGTACAGTGTTTCTCAAATTTTAACGACGACGACACCTTAGTTTATGTTTCGCAAACTCCAATATCGTTAGTTCCAACTCAACTCCAATTTTTCTAAAAAAAAGAAAAACCAATACTCCAAAATAATATTTCAATGATATTTTTAATGATGATTGTTTATTAAAATTAGTTAAAAAATCAAATTTTAATCAAAATAATATAAAATATTAATTTTTAATAATATTTTTTCCAAATATAACGTAAAATAATTTTCTCAATAACCACATATATTTGGCGAAACACACTTGGGGGAACGCTGCTATAGTGTATAGTTTGCATAGATTTATATTATACAAATAGGTGATGAGCTTAGTAATATTAAATTAACTCAAATCAAATGTTCATCAATAATGAAATAGAAATATTTGAATAGTCCATATTAGTTTTTAAAACGACTTCACAATTAAATAAAATACGTTTTGTACGACATGCTAATGAATTTATAATTTTAAATTTTGTTTAATAATTGTATTTGTGTAACCTTCGAGACATACCTAATTTATTTTTATTCGAAAATATTATCTCAGCTATAATTAATTTCAATATTTTAAACAGAACTTAATAAATAATTGTACGACATTGTACATAATCTGACTTAATGGAGTAATAATAAGGTACGGCGTATATCTTATAATGCTAATTTTCCAGACCGTATTTTGTCCTATATGATTATATTTAGAGCGTTATCTTGGATATTGGATCCAAGTCTCTTATAATCAACACGATAAAATAAGAAATAAGCTCGTTTATAATAACCATAAAATTGAACCTGAAATAATTATATATTAATTCCACAAAATGCTGAAATTCTTATGTATACACTTACATCTGTTACACACAGAATTTTTGTAAAACGTAAAAATAATATAAAATATAAGGTGAGATATTATCGGGATCGGTACCCGTTGGTAAATGGATAAGTCCGCTAGTACCCGCGGGGGTGCGTGAGAGGCCGCCCAGGTCGTTAAGACTGCGTCGGCTCACATGCCATAGTTTTAAGTAGTGTAAGTTAGTTTTAAGATCATTCCTAAATACTTGTATTTTTACTTTGTGATCATTACATCAGTTAGAATTGACCACAAGGCTCCTGCCTTCATAAAATAACTTGCATCATCGTTTTCTTAACCATCAGCGGTAGTTACGTTTCATCGTCGGGTGTTAAGTATTAAAGAGGTTGTCTATTAATTTAATTTCAGGCATGCATGTGTAGTTGCCTACCAGCATCCTTTTAAATACAAGGAGATAAACCTACATAATAATATTATTGTTTCGGCTATTCCCAGTGGTCCTTTGGGTAACTCATCGTAGTACAGGCGAGGCGCATAGAATAAATTTTTTTTTTTCATAAAAATTTTAAGTTCGAATTTGGATGAAATTACGTATTTAAATTATGAATAACGATATTCATTATTTTGTTATAGTTTTAAAATATTATTCACTGGGATATAATACTTTTATGTAAATTATTATATTTTATACGCACAACGATAGTTTTAGATAAAATGTTATATACAAAAAGTAATTCAATCTATTGTACTACTAGTTGCAAAATAAATTACTTTAGTATAAACATCATAAAAAATTTCATGAAATTTATTAATTTTAGTGATTTAGTCATATAGGATAATATACCATTTACGCTCAGTCTACACCAACCATTTGCCGAGCGGTACCCACTTGCTTACTTTTTTTTTGCATTAAACTAAACAATTTAAATACAATTACTTTCGTATTATAATTGACAATCTATAATGTTTTATAATCAATACATTTATTACATTGAAAAGCTCACAAAAAAGTACTGAAAATTGTTTTTGCTTTTAAATAGAAGATTCACTGCTCTTTTTTGGTATTGGTTAGGTTATATAAATAATAAATAGGTATTTAAATATATGATAAAAATGTACAATTTTAATATTCTGGACACGCTTAGATTCGTCATGAATAACATTAGTTAAGTGTAATTTATAACCGGTAAACACGTACCTAAGTACAAGAATATACTATAAATGAATAATTCGTAAGCGTATAATATAAATATTTACCACTTACTAAATCAGGTTCTAAACGTTTCATTAGGTAAGTATATACTAATAATATTATATGATTTTTTTTTTCCAAATGAATTTGTAATTCTGTCATTGCCGTAGTCGTCGTTTCACCACACGCAGATGTCGATATCATGTTGATAATTTATTCTTAACTATAGAAAACTGGTTGGCTTAATAAGTAGGTATTTTAGTGATTTAAATTATTAGTGCATTTTATTTAAATTCAAAATACAGACTTGTTATTGTAACTTATTTTTAAGATAATTTAGCACTAAAATATTTTAGCTATTATAAGTATTTCTGATTTTGATTTTTGGCTGATATATCGCATTTTTGATATACTATTTGATGACAATATTAATATATATAAGTACAAAAACTCTAAATCATAGTATTATAAAGGTATAATCACATAATAAATTAATTAACATTTATTTTGTGGTACCATCGGAAATTTCTATTTCATAACATTATTTTATTTAGATATAGGTGATTAGAAACATAGTTAAGTTATTATTATATATGGTTTTTGAATATATATGCCAAATGATTCTTGATGTAGTTTTACTTAAGAAATACTGTAGATTTTACTATATGTAAAAAAAAAAAAAACAAATAATTTTGACTACCTTAAAAACTTTTCTGAAATTGTAATGATTTATTTAGATTTTGATCAGAGTTATTTGTTTTTTTTTTTTGTCTTTGTTACCACTTTTTGGTGCAGTAAAAATGTTTCAATATATTTTAACTTTGAGGGTTATCTTTGGTAGCATCTAGAAACTAGTTTTTAGTTGATACTTTGAGGGTAATTACAATTTTTTTAGTAATACTTATAAAAAAAAACAAAAATAATTTAAAAAACTAGCATTTTACGCATGATTGTTTTCTATACAAAGTATAATTTTCTAAAAAATAAATAAAATTTTAATTTTTTGTTTTATATTAATAATGTATAAAATTATTTACTATGTTAAATTTTGTTATTTATGTATACTAAGAAACACATTATTTTTTTCAATGAATTTCAAGTTCAGATTTTAACAAAAATAAAAAAATGTACACACTTAAAGTATTTTGTAGTAGAATTTTTAAAAAATAACTATAACATTTTCAATTGTTTTTACTAAGGCTTAATAATGTAATAAAATGTTTTTCGAAAGAATTTCTAGAACTACTAGAACTAAAACACTTAAAAAATATACAATCACAATTATTTTTTATAGACATTTTAATTTCAACGAAATTGTCTATTTCTTATGAAAAATATCAATGTTAATTATTTTGTTATAACTCAAAAATATTATTTATAGGGGCTTATAGGGTTAAATTACCTCCATGGCTAAATAAATAGAGAATACAGTGTATTATGTATATTTAATATTACTACTCAATTACTGTGTCAGTTACAATCTTCGGTTTCATTACCATAAACTAGTCACTAGACGACCATGACGATAAGCATGGAAATAACTTAAGTTGAAATTAATGTTATACTTTACTTATACCTTATTATAGTTATAAGTTTAGACTCTAAATGACAGAATAGATTAAACGAACACGTTTTAATAAAACATAAATTAAACTCTAGTATCAATATGCACGTTAAAAAATTCAATACATATGAAGTCTAGAAAGATATCTCTTTGCTTGTTGTGACTGCATCGTTTTAAAATCATTATAGTTTTGGTGACTTAACTCAATTTTTTCATTGTCCGGATCTACTTATATTAATTATATTATAATGTGCAATATAAATTTAAAATATTTATAAATAACTATAGTATAAGTTAAGATTCTGGATACTGGGTACCGACTGGAAACAGGATCATGGGATGAGTTGATATTAATACAATTTATATTTCTTACTTTGATTAATAATATTCATAATACAACGCAATTATCATGATCACAATAATAAAATTGAAAAATAATTAATTTAATTTGTCTACCTTATTATGAATGAATTATGTTTATCAGTTGCATTTGCTCACCTAATAAATTAAATTTGAGCGACGACATCTAAACTTATTAAAGTGGATAGGTATCTACTTATTACTGTAGCTAAAAAATTGTAAATATAAATTGAAACACATGAATTATAATACATTAAATAGATATGTATTATACAATATGGTCCTTTTAAAAATAAAATATAAGGATAAAAGTATTTGTTTTAAAAACAATTTTTGATTTATAAATTATGTATAACAATATATTTTAAGTATAATTCTCCATATATGCATATGGGATATATAATTTATATTGTATAGAAATATAAAATGACTCTATATTAAAGAACAAACAATTTTCGATAATTAGTTAAATTTATTTTGTCATGTCTTGAACACGGTTAAAAATATATTCTTAAAATATATTTAAAACAAAAATTAAGACAAGATATTTGTTTTTTAAAATCTATATTAGTTATTAGTTATCACAATATACATTTATAATAAAAATTAGTAAGTAGATAATAATAAGTCTCTTTTAAAGCTAAGCAATTAATAAAATATATTTAAAATATAATGACTTAACAAAACACTTTCATACAAATCACATTATTTGGTAACAACAGTGTCCTTATGGCATTAAAGCTAATTTTTATTTGATAATAATTTATATATATATATATTGGTAATTAATTTTTTTTAAATTAATTAATTAAGGTATTGATGTTTATAGTAAAATAATAAATTAAGACAATTTGATGTTTTAATAATTACCATATTTTACATTTTTCAATTTTTGGATTCATTCTTGAACCTTTTTCACATTTCCATACCTCACTAAATTCATCTGAATTGGTTAGTCCTGCTAGAACTCGTATGCTATTTGGACTGTGCTCGTCTAATAAACTGTTTGATAATGATTCACGTGTTGTTGTTTCACACCAATTCTAATAAATAATGTCATATAATTAGGTGTATTTTTTTAAAGTTTTATAAATACTTATCTACTTACATTTGCAAAAGCTAAATAATACATTTGTTCATTACTATATTGTTCAAATCCAGGTAGTTTAGGTTCTTCGCCGTAATCATTTACAAATTTTCTATAAGCCAAAAGTGCTTCTCTCAATCCACCATTATCAGCAATATTTTCATCTAATGTTAATTTACCATTTATCTAAAATGTAATTTAGTTGTTAGTACTTATAAATTATAATATAAAATTATATTTATGTTCAATTGACTTAAAAAATCCAAGGATTTTAAAATTACGTTTACTTAATTTTTTAATTCTTATTTATAATTCAATATAGTTGATAATTTATAAATTTAAATTAATAATAATGTAAAAAAAAAAAAAATTAAAGCAAATATGTATATCAAAAAATATCTCTATTTTTTTTTCATTATTATTTATTGTTTTATTTAATTTTTTTTTTTTTTTGATATTTTAATTTGTTATATTGCTTTATATTTACATGAATTTCACTTAAATATAATATATAATTTATAATCTTTGTATAATTTATATATACATTTATACTATATACAAAATGAAAGTTTCTTTGTACGTTCTCTTTAAACTCAAATCTACTGGACTAAAAATTATATCAATGGATTAATTGAAACTAAAAAGGCGTTTGTATCTTATTTTGTTAACTACTATAGATTTTTATAAGATATTTATCATGACTTTAGTTTTAACTTATGAAAATTGAATATGTTATATGGTCGTCACAAATTGTATTACTACCATGATATTATAATAAATATAGCATAAACATATTTTTATATATTTATATTAAAAATAAAATCCAACAAATCTTAAAATATAATACTTAAAAACACAATAATTACAACAATTTAATTATTTTATATATTTTGTTGTAAGCACATGAAGACATATATTAGTCTTAATGATATTGGATTAATGTCAGATTTTTAGTTTTTATTATTGATTGAATATTTCTTCAGACTTTTGCACTTACATAAAAAATATGCAAGAAACTGAAAACTGAGAAGTGGGGAATCATAAAATTAATTATTACAATAGTGTATGTGTTATATATTTCAACCGAAGTGAAATGAAAGAAAATAGAAATATTGATTTATTTTAATAAGTCAGACAATATAGCTTTTTGTTAATATGAGTAAAATGTGATGTATTATTTAATCTTAAATTAAGAAATCAAAAAAATAGTAAATTTTAAGTATTATAAATACTAAGTTAGATTTGGAGTCGAGATGTAAAGCTGGTTAATTAAAATAATTCTATTAAACTGTAAATATTGGAATGTATTTGAATGTGAGAAAGTAGATAAGAACGATCTATCTTTGATTTCATAACTCATTATTGTAATATATATTTAATAATTTGACTGTTGGATTTATAATTGTCTATAATATTTCATAATTATCCATAGGTTAATATGTTATACTAATATAAAGTAGTATCACTTATTTATTTGAATCATATAATTTAATTGAACAATGTATTGTTAAATTGTATGGCAGTAAAGGCATCAGAAAAAATAATTACAGAATATCTTCATCCCATATTCAAAATCGATTTTAGTGTATGTATTTAACGATTTATTAAAAAGTATACCTTTTTTTTAAAAAAAAAAACTGCTGTGGAAAAAGTATGTATAACTAGTTTTAACTTTGCAGTTTAACGATAAAATATCGAAAAATACCTTTTCTTCGATTTCAGGTACTAAATAAGATTCATAATGATGAATGAAGCATTCAGAACGTTTTTCATACTCGGCGATAGTTTGATTAGTCCACCACATATTTTCATTTCCTTCGTGATCAAATTTTCGGCCAGTATTGTCAAAACCATGTGTCAGTTCATGTCCCAGTATAGAGCCAAGAAAACCGTAGTTGAGCATCCTTAAATTACGATAGTATAATTAGTAAATTTTGTCTAAAACAGTTAAAATTTAACATACTGCAAATCATGTCCAAAAAAAGGAAATTGTAATATGCCGGCTGGAACAGCTAAAAATATGTATAGAATGCTTTGTTTTACATAATCATTAAGTTTAATATAGTGATCTTAAAATTTTTTTAGTTACTTATTGCATTTGCTTGAATCCAATTGTATGCATTTACTTCTAATGGATCTGATGCCCAACTAAAAGATTATAGACTTTATTGTTATATATTTTATTAAGTATTATTAGTATTTACTTACGAGTTGATATTGTAATCATTTAATTGTCTAAGTACTACCAAAGACTCATTCAATTGTCGTTGAACATAACGTATAACGTTCCCAAAATAGTCATTTTCTACTACTTCAATCTAAACAAATATTCAAAAAAATCATTCAAATAATATATTAAATACTGTATGAAATAAGTACATCATAATAGTATTGATCAAGGTCATGTGGGTCAGTTATGAATTCAGGGAAGCCAATGAACGTTCTCATCTGCTCTGCCTTGTATAGTGTTCTTTTTTTAGTCGTATCATCCATCCAATTTAATTCTTTGACTATTTTTTCAAATGCCCAATGAATATTTTCAATCATTTCAACTGCCTAAAAGTACATCGGTATTTATTGTATTAGTAAGATTTAAATATTTTCAAGTTTAATACCATTTTTGAGTTATTATATATTGTTTCCGTATCTAATAATAAACGTGCAACAGCCATTCCCATCATCGAGTTTACAGCATTTGCACAATAAATTGATCTAGAAGGATTATTTTCTAATCCGGTTGTTTCATAGTAGTATCTATCTTGTATAAATCGCATCTCATTTGTAGTATAAGGCAAAAGAGTAACAACTACTTCCCACCATACATTGATGACTAAAATTAAGTATATTATATATAATTAACAACAATTATATTTTAATAATTGGTAAATAAAAACTCACAATATTTAATCATAAAAAATGTGAAAAATGTATATTATTATAAAATTAATTGTGTAAAATACAAATTATTAATCATATGATTATACTTACTGATATTGTTTTTATGTTTACTAATTAATTCGAATAGAGCTTCAAAGTATTTAATATTAGAGATTTGAATCAAATCAATTTCGAAATCCAATGTTATATTTTCTACATCCATAAATAGAATTGTTAAGTATTGCTTCCAATCAATCTATATCATTTTTATTTAAAATTTATTTTGTTATTATTTATTTAAAATAATTATAATTTACAGGTAAGTAGAAAAATAAATTATAACATTTTGTGTTCGTTTGATCGGTAAATAGAAGTTTTATAGTTATTGTATTTCCTATGCGTTATGTAAATGGTAAATTAATTTATTTTATTGTAATCACCTATCAGTATATTTACGCAGATAAAAATAATTTTTATATTATCTAATAGCGTAAAATATTTAGGTAGCTTTATAATCCATAGAAATGTGTAGTAATATAATTATAAATAACTTACAATTTGTTCGTTTGTTTTAGTAAAATTTTGTGTAATATAATCAGTAAAATTTTGTAATTCTTCAACAGTCATGAGTGATGGAAGTTCTTCATCTCCTTCATATATTTTATCTTTTATCTATAAATAATTATTAACTAACTCATATAGTCAAAATACAAAATAAATTTAATGATAAATTTATTTATTACCTTTGAGTGTTCATTGATGAAATTTAATAGTTGTGATACATGTTTTAATTTAGGATTAAAACTATTTGATTTATAAATCTCCATCCAAACGTTTTTGAAATATTTTGCATACGATTTTAAGTAATCAATTCCTTCTGTATACTCTTCATTATCATTTACTTCTTCTTCAGATGCTAATGTTTCACGCATTTTTCTTGTACTCATTTTTTTAATATTATTTGTTGTTTCATGACTAAAAAATTTGAAACGTAATGTTAGCATTGGTAAAAATATGATGAACAATTTAAATTCTTACACTGGAAATATATTTATATCTCTTGGTTTACTTAAACTAATTCGATTAGTTGTCCGATTTTTTGTATCTGAATCGACATTTGTTACAAATAAAAAGTCTAAGTTAATATACTTTTTTAATTTAGCTAAAATTGGCGATAAACTCGGAGATTTTATTTTAGTATAAAGTCCCATGTGTGGCAAGCCAATTTGATCTAAAATTTGAACCAACTTATTGATACCATTTTTATTCATTTCATCTAAACGTGAAATTAATATTGAATTGAATGTATCACCATTTTCATAAAATATTATTTGCTATTACGATATAATAAACTAACAAACCTGTTGCCATGCAAGATTGATACAAAAGTCTGGATTGCGATACGGAATACGCCTCATTTTCAGTATCTTCTCTTTCCATAAAATCTAAAAACAACATTCATAACATTTAAAGTAAGTATTACAATGAGCCCCAGTGGTGTATACCTTAGTTAACTAATCTAGTCCCACTGTTCAATAGTTTGAAATAATTTTATTGTCTATGCGATGTTATTAAAAATATTGTAACGTTACGAGATAGATCGAATTTACGTTGCATCAATGTAATATTCTTGTTAATTTCCGTCATTTTTGTACTTCGTATAAATTTTGTAAATGAGTCATTCTGCAATATCTTACCGACATAAAAATAACATTCGTAGAACATACCAGAGTCGAGTACATTTTAAACTAATTCAACATCATTTCAACATCACAGAACTATCTACCATTTATTACAATAAAAAAAAAAGCAAAAATGTAACGTAGTGGACGAATTTCATACCTCTTATAAATAATAACATTACAGCGTTTACTTCAGTAAATCGATCATTTGATAAAGCTGTTTTTGGTATTTTATGCAATTTGGGGTAATTTCCGCAGGCGAATTCATAAAAGTTTTCACATGGATCTGCAGATTTATTCATTGACTCAATTAATGTTGTAGCTATATTAAAACAAATAGAATATATTTTATTAGTTATGATGGACGCTTATATTTATATATAAATACTATGCTTATTTTATAAACTAACCAGATCTTAAGCAGTCTTCTGTTGTACATATTCTTTTGTTTTGGTTTTCTGTTTTCGTTAAGTCTGGCAAAAAAAAAAAAAAAAAAAAAGAAAGGTTTATACATGATTTATATAACTACATTATACAATTCCTAAGACGTGGATCCTAAGTTAACTTAAAACTTAAAAAGACTAAAAAAAATATTAAAAATGAATAGTAAGTGTCCGAGACTTTTACAAATAAACATTTGAATCTTATTTTCTCGGGGAGTTTAAATTTTGTACTTAAAATTAATTTTTGAATAACTAATTAAACATATTTTTTATTGTCACATTGGACAACAAAGACATTAAAATTTTTTTACTTGATACAATTTATGGCAACACAATATTATATTTATTTTATCAAAGAAAAAAATGTTAAAAAACATTATATAACCAAAAAAAAAAAAAAATGTATTTGTATTTTTAATTTTTGTCAAGAAATTATTTAATAAAATAATTATTATTTTATTATTATTATTATTATTATAATTTATTTATTAGAAATTAATCAAATTTCTTAGTTCAATAAAGAAATCACATTTAATACCTTATAAATTTACTACGCTTAAAAGTTTATAATTCAAACACACAATATGTATAATATATTTTGCACTATATCAGTCGATTTATCAATATGGGTTACTAGTACAGGGGAAGGCTTAAGTAAAAATACTTTAAATACGCTTCAAATAAACCAACGTAATATAGTTTGAATTTATCTGAATAAATATATTTTAGAAGGATCAATAAGACAAAATTACTAGGATTTAAATGTATTACCAGTAAAATATTTATAAAAAAAAATAACTTTTAACTTGGTATTTCAACGTTTTATTAAAGATAATATCAAATAATTTTTCAACAACAAAAAATCAAACAGAGTTTATAATATTCGTATATAGTAAGCTTTTGAGTTAATCTCAAAAGAGTTAATCTTTTGTTGATTATTTAGAACCTATATATTGTATTTTAATTTTTGACATTACAGTTTAAAAATAATTCACTGTAATCTAAGTAAAGCAAAAAGTATAATAATAACCACCTGTTCTCAGAATTAGAACGATTTAAATATTTTTAATTTTGTGAACCTAATTGTTTACTTTATGTCAAAATATGTTTTTTCTTCTCTTTGTATTTTCCTTTTTATATTAAATGTATAAATTTATTTTTCTGTTTTTACTTAATTAAATTACTCTCTATCTTTAACTTAGCTTAGCTTATTTTATTATTAATCTGTATTTAATAATGTGTATTATGTACTTATAAATTATGATTCATGTAAAAAAAAAAAAAAAATACTCGTGAATAAATTAAACATAATTTATATGCGTCATAATTTGTTCACAGCTTAATATCGTTTCAGTTTTGGCTCTCTGAGCACGTCAATCAGTCATTTTAAAAATAAGTATTTGTATACATTCTTTAAATACATTATTTATAAATAATTCAATACTTACAGGCAAATGATAATCCGAAAACAGCTATTATGAGCACTGCAAATATGAATATTAGTAATGTTAAAACTATGTAGAAGGTTCTTCGGCTTTCCATTTTGTTTTTGAACCTGTTTGGCGCATCAGATTAATTTGAGATAAAATACCCTAGCCTTTATTTAAATACATTTTATTGTTTCCAATTTTTTCTTGATTTTTAAGGGTACAAGGATGATTTTTACATAACCTTGACACAAATATCAAAGTAATGTCATTTCAAGGTTATATTTATGTCCTATTATTTGTTCTTTTGTAAGATACGATTCATTGATCTTGAAACAATAAATTGTTGTAATTCCCTTTAAGAATATAGAAACACTTTTCATTGGAATACTTTGATTATTGTTCCAATTCATTGTTTGAAATCTTTGTGTAATGATTTAAAACTAATAATGTACCTGATCAATATGAGTTTGATAAAAATATTAGATAATTGAGTATATTTGATTGGTCTAAGAAAATAACAGTTTCTAATTAAACATAGAATTTAGAAAGAATATTTGAAAGAATAATTTTGCTTAATTTTTTTTTTTTTTTGATATAATTATTTTTATTATCAGTTATCCAAATAATAATAGCTAATAGCGTTCCATAATTGTAATCCATGCTTGATACACCCAGAATAATTAAATATTTTTCACTTACAATTTTGAATAGCCCGATTCGGGATCTTTAAGTCCATCATCTTTTAGTTTACTTGTCGGTAAATCTTCGTCATCACCTGTTGAATTTCAAAAAAACAAACTTTGGTTATTGTTTAAATCAAAACTTTTCTTTTAAAAGATTTTTAATAATCGTTTCAGTATAAAAAATGAATATTTTTTTAAATCTTTATAGTTTCGAGAAAAAATAATATCTTTACATACCTAATGGCTAATTGTAACCGAACTAAACCTTCATGGTAGGATTGTAAATGACGATTGTCTTACCTATTTATTTTTATTGATGAAAACAACACTTAATTCAAGTAACCTTGAAATAGTACCTAACAATACCTAAGATTATTACATCGGGAAGTTTACAAATATTTGCAATAAATTACTTACCTACATCAGTACACAGTGACAAATCAAATAATGAGAGTATTATACAAGTTATGATAATAAACGTATACCTATCACGAATTTTTATTATAAACACTGTAATATCTCAGCATAAAAATGACTTATTTATTAAAATGTAAGAAATATGTTATGAATGACGCACACAAGTTATAATTTAAATAACAATATGTAAATATTTTATAAATGTACCGATTTACCAATAATGTAAAGAATAATCTATTTGAAAATTATATAAGATTTATCACAAACTACAATAACTATAATGTGAAAAACGTGCTGTTTAGGTAAAGCCATAAAATAGTTAATTTTAAAATCAAATTTAACTTAAAAAGAACAATAATATATTCAATAAATAATGAAAAATATTTTTAACAAAATATGAGGAATTTTTCTTTGAATTAATTATTTTTTTATGATTTTACTTTAGTTTAATATTCATATGCTTCAAAAAATACTTCGATTTTAAAAATATTATTTTATTAATTATTCTAGATGTAGATAATAAAAACTTAACAATACATTTTGCAGTCTTGAATCATACAATTTTGAATATTTTTATAAAATGATAAAATTTCAAAATAAAAATTATTAGCAGTAGTGGTGATTTGATAAAGCATTAAGGGTATTACAGAAGCCGTAATATTATAAAATATATAGCAACAATTGTTTTTATAATCTCATCGAAGATGGTCTAAATGTACTTAACTATGTACTTTTTATATTTATTATATTTTTAATTTTTTACAATAGTAATTTTTAACAATAATTATAAATTATATTTTTTAATATTTTAAATTTAAAAATTAAAAGATATTAACCAAATCTCACGAAGAATGGATAACCCATTAAAACCATTACTGATTATAATAGAACAGATGAAAAGATTCACTTTAAACTGTGATTTGTTCTTTTTAACAAAATCTGTACTCTTATAATTATTATTAAATTGTACAAGTTTTGTAATATTCATTGTTTATGCATGTATTGTTATTATGGTCTTAAAAATAATTTTATTGAGTATAAATATAATAATGTTATTAATTTTATAATTACTTCCAATGAGTAATTCATATATTACGTTTCTCTATAATATTACGTACCTTAAAGGTGATATGCATTTATATTCAATAAATTTTGATTAAGTAGAGTACCTACATTAGGCATTAGTATATAATATATTATTTATAGTCAGTTTACATTTTTTAGTTGACGATCTCTGTACAATGTTTATAGCTGCGTTTTGTTTATAGGTGTTAGTTACATCTACATTTTACATAGAATGTGCTATAAAGTAATCTAACATATAGTTTAAAATGACGGACAGAATCCAGATACTGGTATTCGGGAACTTGTCTCACTTTATCATCTCAGAGCAGGAAATAGATGTACTGTTATAATTTTATAAACTTTGATAGTGAAATAAGGTAGGGAAAATCGACTGTTTGGAATTATATATTATATTATAACTAAAATTGCGATTCGCATCACCGTCATTAGTTCATATTCGTTTGGTATGTAGGTGAGAGATGATAATCCCCCTTTCCATTGTTGCTGAAAATCACTGAATAGTAAAACTTCCCTAAAAAAACAACAACTTAAACTGTTAAAAAGTTATTGACTATTTTTAAAACCAATCTAAATGGACTATTACAGCATATATTTTTTAATGATACATTGTGGAGCAGATTTTAAGTCTATTTTTGATTCTATAATTTAATGAAAAATTGAATTATCAATTTCTTAAATAATCAACAAATATGCACATAAAGATATATTTATTTTTTTCATCTGTCTTACCAATTATTTGTTATTATAATAAATTAATATTTTAGTGAGTAGTTTATGTAGTATAATATTACATCACATTGAGTTGTTGATTTTTGGTTTAGAATGGAAAAGAAATCAAATTTAGGTCATTGAACAGAAAAAAAAAATGAAAAATAAATGCTCTTGTTAAATTATCAAAAAAAAGTTATGCTGGGCGGCACAGCTATGTAAAATTGATAAGTCGTAAATATCATTTATCATTCATTTGTCAAAAATATTATTTATACACATGTGTTACTTAATACGTTAAATTTTAGCATTGGTAAACCAAATTTAATACGGATTATAAAGCAACGAAGTATTTTACAAATCCAATATTGGACAAAAATTGCTCATCATTCTCTAGTTCCCGATCAAAATTACTTCGCTTTTTACGTTTTAATAATATTATGTCATTAAAAACAACAATTATTCTTAATTCCTTTTCAAGAGCCATTATTATTATTATTATATAGAAATTTTTCGAAAATGTTGGATTCTTAATCTGATTATATTGTTTTAAATGTATTCAACCGTCTGCTTTCAGCAGACTTACTAGTTATAATGTTTTTTTTATTTTTCTTTCTCTCCCTCTGGTTGTTATGTATTTTTGTTGCCTTTTATATCTTTTATAACATCCTTTAGATTGTAAGTAGCTAATGTATCCTTACTTGTAACTGTTAATAATTTATATTGGTAGCTTTAATAACAATATAAAAAAAAAAAAAAAAAAAAAATATTGGACAAAGATAACTTAAATATTATATTTAGATCAGGAAATATAAAGCATTTAAAATATTTATCTAAATAATAAACGTAAATATACTAATTTATTCAGATAAATAAACAGATAATTCAAAATTTGCTTTTGTAAAATATCATTTTTATTAAAAATACTATTATTTAAATTTAAAATATCCATATTATATACTTATTATATCATTTGATATAGATTGTATATTTCTACTTAAAGTAAAAAAAAAAAAAAAAATAAGCGGAGCGTTAAATGTGTGTCTTTTTGAGCTATTTATATATTTTTTAAGTTTTCCATATTTTTAGTTTTTTTTTTTTAAATATTGGTAAAATTTATTCGTTAGGTAAATATGCTTAAAAATTTAATTCATGGTTCCTCATAAGTTTTGTTCATCTAATAATTAAACAATATCAACAATTTATTGTCAAGGTATTTTCTTATAGCAATTTAAATTTAGAATGTCGATAAAATTTTTAAAATCTGAACAATTTTCATACTATTTAGTATTCTGTATAGTTAGAAATAAATTAGAGATGGAAATTATGAGAATTATAAGTATAGATAATTTTTATATTATTTAACACTTAGTTTTCTAAAAAATTAATGAAACAAATGCAATTTATCTTTCCCGGGTTTTAAGAATGATACTTAAATAATATTATGAAAAATGTTATGGATTATTATTTTCCAATGTATTTTTTTTAATATTATATGGAATATAAAAATATATTAGTTTTTATTTCGAAGACTTGAATATTTTGAATAAAATTAATCATATTATTTTTTCTTACTCTAATTTGAATATTGGCGTTTCAGCGCTTAAATTACAATTCTAGTATTCCATAAACTATTTATTATTATGTTTAATATTATTTAATATTGTATATCAATTAGTTTCGATAAAAATAACTTTTAATTGGTAACTGCAGCTTTTAATTGCTTTACGCGTAGCAATAATATTTTGCATTTTAAACGCAATTATAATTGTACAGTGTATGGTATATCCATTATGAAGTGTTAATAAATTGACGCATAGTAGATGCCTGTATACAAAAGTTATAGATATTACGCACTCTACTTAATCTTAATTGTAATTTAACCATATTTTGTTTAGAATGACAAGAATACTTATCACTTGTTAGTCGTTACGATATGCAGTATTTTAAGATATTCAATTAAAATGGAACTTTTGTTAATTATTTAAATTTTATTTGTGGTTTTACATTATTAAGTTTCAATAATTAGTTAAACACTATTATAAATTTAGCAAATTGTATCTTATTTTACATTGATTAAAATACCGAAAAAAATAACAGAATATATTGAGAAAAAATTGTATTATAAATAAAGGAAGAAACAAATAATTATAAATCATAACATTATAATGAATTATTATAGCAAATAAAGTTATAATAGTTAAATGTAAAATTTTTATTGAATTCATATAAATATTTAAATAACAAACATTTAATTAATGAAAATGAATTAGGTGTATTCATGCATTTTAAATTTTAAATTTAATATTACTGACAACATATTTATTATAGAATTATTTATAGATCAATTCTTTTTTTTTTTGGCAAATTAATAAAATATAAACTATTTATTATTTATTTTTAGTATTTACTCGTTACATTTTTTGGAATTTTCAGATATTTGTAATTTGTTAAAAAGTTTTTATACTCAGAATATTTATTAAAAGTTTGACTTACCTAATTTCTATTATAGGTTCCTACAATAAAATTGAATTGTATTTGTTAATGGTATATTATCAACTATAATTTATGTTATAAAAAAAAAAATAAATATTTTTTTTTTAACCTATTAAAGTCACTAGTGTACACGAAGTGGTCCAGAGGATACTGTGAAATGAAATATAAACAGGTACCTGAGATACCTACCTATCGTTGAACAAAATTCAATTTATAAACCCGACCGATAGTTAAATGTAATCATATATTTTAGCAGTGTTTTCGATTTTTGATTTTATATTACGAATATTATGCACAATGCACTTACTCATTTTGGTTTAATTATATTTGTCCTTCTGCGCGACCCTCCCCCTTTGTGCACATGAATACGATTATTGAGTAGAACCGTCGATGTACAAGTACTGGCGGTACAGCTGGCCGACACAGGTCGTCGCGATCGCGTGCTGACTATTTGTCGGCCTTCGTCTAACTGAAACGCCCAACTATACATACACGTTGTGGTCTTTTTTTACGCCGGATTCATAAGGATTTATGTTTCGCTTTCATGTTGACAGTTCTGCCAACAAACATGTGGCGCGGCCAGGCGCTGTACACGGTATGATGAGCGGAGAACATAACATGAGGTTCAGTCTTTTATTTGTCCCATGGTCTGCTGATTCTGGCAGAAACGCATAATAATAATAATAGTAATAATAATAATAATAATAATAATGATAATAATAATATATTAAGTCTTGTTCGAACATGTAGGTGAACGCGAAATTGGTTTTTTACGCTGTTGCGTCTCGGCCTGGGCGTGCCATATTACAATACGGTAGACGGCGTCATGTATGTACCTATGTAATATACGTTTGTTTCATCTACCGGCAATAATCAAACGGTTATTATATACGTATATTTACAGTTTAGCTATTATTTGTACCGTATTATTATGACTAATAGATTTATAATTCATTTTGTGAAGTAATACCGTACATAAACTATACCACGTACATTACATTTTTTTTTACATTCCGAGCGGAGCGATTAATTTATTGATTTTATTACAACGATGAGTGCTTTTTCGTTTTTGTATTCATCATCACCATTCGAGGCAGTAAATATGCTTCAGTTATAAACTTATAAAACAAATTTGAAAAATCAATAATTATTACTGATAATTTAGTAATATTTTACGTCTAAATTTATGTTTTTAACTATGTATATTTGATAATGAGTAACAAGACCATGGGTGTCCCCGGACATTTTTCTAGGGGAGAGGGGGTAAATTAATTAAAAAAACAAATGGAGATTTTTTATACATTTTATTCATAGTTCATTATTATATTTAGGTATTTTTATTATACATTTTATGTATAGAAAATTATTATTTTTTGTCATTATTATATTAAATTATTACAATTAAGTAACAAATTTATAATTCTAGGGCGGGGGTGCAAGTCCTTCCTGGAGACGTCTATGAACAAGACGTATTAATAAAATTAGGTATAAATAAATGGACTGTCGGAGGAAAATTAGAATATACTGATAAAATAATAACTTAGAATCTCTCCTCTCCCTAAATATTGACCAGAATCTCTACTTATGTTACCATTTTATTTTCAAAAATATTTTGATAATAGTGACTGCTGTTAAAATCTATTTTTTATGTCTGTTTGAATCACCTATTAGATGATGTGTAACTATTCGATTTTATTAAATTTTACTAGTTCCCTGATGATTTTATGTGATTAACATGATTAAAATAAAAATATAAATAAATAATTATCGTTCTATTTATTTTAAATGTATCATTAAATTATTCTATTTGATACTATTATCCTTCTTAGATAATTCTTCCGGCGCCTATGCGTAAAAATTATGCAATATTTCGATGACGTGCATAATAATATAATTAACTATATTACGTATTATAATTTTGAAAACTATACTGAATGCAATAAAAAAATAAATAACTGGTTAACCTTTTTATTTGTGATAACCTTATGTATCTTTATTTTAATTTAAAGTTTTCTGCATGTACCTTTTATTGCAATGAATTGATATATTAAGTGATTTTAATCCAGTGCGTTGCTGAAGATATGCACATCTTATTATAATTATAATCACATTATCTACTCTACATATTTTGCGTAGATGTTGTAGTTTGTAAAAAGGATTTATTATATAATAATATATTTTAAATTTTGAAACTTGTTTTCCGATTTTTATAACCTCACTTTATATACGTATTTATGTTCTATATTCTATATTATTTGATATATTATATATAATATATATTTATATATATATATTTATTGTTATTATAATATTAAGAAATGTTTAAATGTCAAACTAAACTTTAAAATTTTTAAACTATACAATTTATTAATTTACATTGTTTCAAACACAGAATGATTTAATATGATAATAATTAAAATAACATTTTACAATATGTCGTATAAATAAAATGGTATTGATAAAGCTTAATTAAAAATATTTTCACTTAACTAGGGTTTACAGATTAATGAAACTACCAACTGCATTTTTAATTTGATTAGATATAAAATAAAAATGCATCTATATTCTATACTGTTGATTTATTTTAAATTTAAGCATTTGTAATTAGTTGCATATTTTATTTGAAAAATTAAACCAATTAACCCCACCACACTAATTTATTTAACCGGAATAATATTTTTAATATTTTGTATTATTTGTATGGTTACTAGTTTTCAATCGATTTAGTGATTGTATTCGATAAGGGAATGTTACACAGGCGTGTAAATATAGATACAATTTGATGTTTGATATTGAATATTTTATTTCATACTTTTGATTATGACTTAAGCTAAAATTAAAATTATATAATACTATAAAGAATGATAAATTATACAAATCTATATCTTGGATAGACAGAAATGATAATAATGTTACTTAATATGACATTTTCATAAAATATATTGAATATGAGGTACAAAATAAAAATATAACTACTAATTTAAATGTATTATTTAAAATACGTTTATTATAGTTTATCAAATATTAATAAATCAAATAATGTCATATTATTAGAATAAAAAATTATTACTTGTAATATAAAATTATTTTAAACATTAAGGAGGACTTTAAAAGAATGTCATGTCCGCATGTATTGTAAAATTGAATATGCAGATGTGACGTCTATTATGTATTTTTTTTATTTATTATGATGTCAATAAGTATATCTACCTATCTAGTTTATACCTAGTATCATGGGTATTAATTTAAATTTAAAAATATTTAAAAATGTATGTGTGTTCCATTACGACTTGAAAATAATAGACGATCACTTATAAAATAATTATTGCGTATTTATTTTTTTTTATCACTGAATAATAATATTATTAAACATAAATATCTGTAACATGCACATAATATTGTCTTATAATATTGTATTTAACTCGTATACTTTTGAATATACTATATTTTAACTTTATTCGAACTATTCAATTCTATTCAATGGTTTCAATTCAAACTATGAGGGATTACTTAAAAGTGTGATAAATGTCTTGTATTATACTCGATGTTTTTGGCAAAGATATAGTGTAGCTAAAATTAGTTATACCTCTATATATAAGAAGGTTGTCGGAATTTACTAATACTATAACTGTATTACAACTATTATTTAAAAAAAAAAAATAATAGTATTATTGGTGGACATTTTTCATTCATTCAAATTGAATTAATTAATTATATTAACTTCATTCTGACAGTATCACTTTTGTTGTAGTCATGTTAAATTATTAAAGACATTATTATACTTTTTAAAATCTAAAATATTTTTATATAACTGTAGAAACTGATTATAACAACGTTTGAGAAATTTGTAAATTATTGTTTCATCTAGTTAGTCGTATTAACTGATGTTTAAAAAATATTAATTTTTTTAAAACAATAAATATTACGAAAAACGTAATATTTATTAATTAATAACTTAAAAAATGTTGTTGGCGAATTTTCTTGATAGAAAAAGTGTCTTTTTATTTAATTTCTTTTATACCTAATGTAAAATAGTAATTTTATAAATCTAATTAATTTGATTATATGACGTTTAATTTTTCATACTAAAAAACTATTTCACAATTTATTAAATTATTTTAGACAGTAAACGGTCGATTATTAATATATTATTAAATATTCAACTAGTAATAAGAATATGTGTCATTGGAGGGTTGAATTTAATGGCCGTATCGGGGTTGTCCTGGTTCAAATCGCGATGGTAACCTTTACGCCTCCTTTACAAATGTCAACCTTTATATGGCGGTAATCTAACACGTGCAATGTTTGACAAAATTATTTCACTGATTTAATAAGTCTACGCCGTTGAGTTATATTAAAGTAAAAATATATTATACTTACTTTTTTTTCAGTCCAACGTAAACGGCGTCAAATCCAATTAACACAAAAATTGAATTACTCACAAACATATGTTATTTTTATCTAGATATAAGTGATGTACAATGTATATTTTATTATTAAAATATATCTTGCTCAAATTTGGTTATTCTTCTTAAAGTTTAAACTCTTTTAATTTATAAATTATAAATGTATAATTATTTCTTTTAGATAATATAGCTTATTATTAAGTATTTTTTTCATTTTATTCTTAGTTTGAACATTGTGTATAAAAAATAATATAATATATTATTTATAAATTTGGTTTAATTATTATTGTGTTTGGTCTCAATTACTATATCATTTTAATTATTATAATAAATGATGATAGTAACATATATTTAAAAATATCTATAGCCATTGTGCGATTCTTGAACGAGTGTATTTTAGTTATAAATTGTGTACAAAAATAAGATATCGTAACGAGTAGACAATTAAGTTTGTACAGAGGAACTTATTTTTTTAATTAACAATATCATTTTAAGCATTAGCTAATATTATACTAATAAGTAATATGTGTAAATAATAAATATAGTATGCAATCAATTTAAACAAATAAAAATAAAAAATGATGTTTTATGAATTACCAAATTTGACATTTATCTTTTTTTGGATTCATTGGAGTACCAAGTGGACAAGACCATGCTTTTGCAAACTCAGGTGAAAGTGATAGGACTCCCCGCACTCGAACCACGTTAGGACTGTGACTGCTAAAATTGTCGAATTCGCTGTCATTCTCGTCATAATGACAGTATTGCTAAAATACACATAATTTTTTATATAAGACGGGTCTTAAAATATATATTAATTATTTCTCTAGACCACGAAAAAACGAATGTTGTGGAAAAATCATATAAAAACCAGTGAAATAATCGGTAGAACACGATTGCGTACGGTCTTTATCGACATACGCAATCGTGAACATTAAATGTTCACGATTGCGTACGATTTTTATCTGCAACTTTGAAGCACTGTTGCCATTTGCTTTGAACTTATAGAACAGGGGTTATATAAGTATACTATACGAAATCGGATATTTTAGGATATTCGCACTCGATAAAATATTATGTATACTGCAGTATACCTATCATTTAATAACTCAGTGAATAACCGTCGTTGGATTATCAACTTCCTCGCGTGTTTCGTGTTTTTCTAGTGAAATATGGAAAATAAAGTTAATTTTA